TGCTTTTCCTTCCTCTAAAAATGACTCCAATTTAGCCTGGCCAGCGTGGCTCAGTGGTTGAGCGTCAACCAGGCAGTCACGGTTTGATTCCCGGTCAGGGCACACTCGGTCCTCAGTCGGGGGTGTGCAAGAGGCAGCCGATCGATGATTCTCCCTCATCATTCATGCTTCCGTCTCTCTCCCTCTCCCTTCCTCTCTGAAATCAATAAAAATACATTTTTTTAAAAATGACTCCAATTTAAATAAATTTCCTCCAGCTTCATTTAGTTTTTGGTTAGTTGGCCCATGTCTGACCCACGTCTGTGTTCAGCTCTGATCCTCTTCCTGGCCTGTGCACAGGGCTTGTGAGCCGTCATGGGTGCCTGCGCAAGAAGAAGTGAAACAGGCGGGTAGCTCCACATGCAAAGAAGGGGCGCCTTCATTTTTGAGGACCTGCCCCTGTGGCCCCCGCCTGCTGCAAAAACAACGGCTCTGGGCTGCTGTGAAACCACCCTTTGAGTCTGGCTCACTGAATCTCATGAGGTGTTCAGTGTCATGGGACCAGGCAAGTGCTTGGGCCCAGGCTAATGTCCTGGGCATGGCGGTGGTGGTGTTTCTCGGCAGCATTTTTGCTACCGATTTACAGAGCAAAGCCCTGCCACGTGGGGCCTTGGTGTGTCTTCCATCCACCTTGTGTGACAGTTCATGGAACACAGTGACTCTCTGTGCCTGGCAAGGGCGACATCCAGAGAGACATCCGTCAGCATCCCAACCCACGCAACAAGCCTTCTTGATGTGAATGGCCCTGGCACCATCTCTGTGCAGAGGGTTATTAGGTAGTTATTCCTATTGATATTATTGTCTTTACTATTATTTGCAGTGTGTCACACCATTTTCACAATGTCGTTTGATCATTCACTCTAACAACATCACGGTGGTGTAGTTGTAGCAGCTGAGTACTGAATGGTTGTTTGTTACGGTTCCAGGTGAGCACGTGGGCCCCAGAGCCAGACGCCTGGGTTTGCATCCTGGCCCCACCACTTCCTGGTTATGTGACCGTGGACAAGTTACTAACCCTCTCGAAGCCTCGGTTTCCTCATCTGTGAGATAGAGAATAATACTAGCTCCTACCTTATTAGGTTATTATGAAACCAGTGACTAAATATTTATAAAGACAGAATAATCACCAAACATATTCTCCTTTATTATCATCATCAACATGGTCATCTGAGAGTTTGTGATTTACTTGCAATCCTAATTCTTGTACAGATTGGGCTGAAAACTCAACCCTAGGGGTGATGACTCCAAGAGACATGGACTTTCTTTCCTCTTGGTCTTTATTTGCTTATTACACAGCAATACAAAAATACATCCTTGTTGTAAAGGATGAAAGAGTACAGAAGCATACAAAGGAACTTGTTGGGCTCTGACCCTCACTCCTTCCTGTCTCTGCCGAGGTATTCACAACAAACTGATGGGTGTGCATTCTCCTTACTGTCCCTCCGTGCAGGACACGGGTATGATACTGATATACATGTGCGTTCTCTCTGAAATCCTATATAATAAAAGGCTAATATGCAAATCGACTGAACGGCAGAATGACCGGTCGCTATGACGTGCATTGACCACCAGGGGGCAGACGCTCAATGCAGGAGCTGCCCCCTGGTGGTCAGTGCACTCCCACAGGGGGAGCGCTGCTCAGCCACAAGCCTGGCTGAATGGTGGCGAGTGCAGCAGTGGTGGCAGGAGCCTCTCCCACCTCCGTGGCAGCGCTAAGGATGTCCAACTGTGGCTTAGGCCCGCTCCCCACAGTCGGACATCCCCCTGAGGGCTCCTGGTCAGTCAGACATCCCCCGAGGGCTCCCGGACTGTGAATGGGTGCAGGCCGGGCTGAGGGGCTCCCCCCCCCCCAATGCACAAATGTCATGCACCGGGCCAATAGTAAATAATAAAAGCAGAGCCTGACTTACAGGCCTTTTGGGGGATGCCAGACAAAATGCTAGTCCTCTCATCAGCTCCATGAGGTGAGTGCTAGTCTAGCCATTTTATAGATGTGGAAGCTGAAGGTCCGAGAGATTCCCACCATCACAAGACCCCACGGTGCCGAAACAGGATTGCATGTAGTCAGACTTACTCCAGTGTCTACATTCTTTTGACTACTCATTATGTGATTGTATTATTTTCTGCATGATTTTTTCTCTTAGTAATATCAGCTTGAACTCTTTCCATGTAAGTGTCTATAAGTTTACTTCATTCTTTTCATGGCTGCATAAGATCAATATTTTATCTAACTACTTTCTTATTTAGGTTGTTTTCTGTTTCTTTGTTATTTACTATTACATATAATGCAGTGTTGAATGTCTTCAGTGTATACACTTTGGGACACATGTGAGAATTTCTGTAGGATAGCTTTTAGAACTGGAATTTGTACATCAGGGAGTGTGTACATATTACATTTTTATAAATATTGCCAATGTTGCCTTCCAAAAGGAATTTTGCTCACCGACAGTGTGAGAATTCCTATTTCCTCACACTAGTTTGTGTTTTTTTTAATCTTTGCCAATCTGACAGAGAAAAATACATTTTTCTAAATTGTATTTCCCTGGTTCCTTTTGGGGTCATGTATGTTTCCTCCGGAAGTTACCTTTTGCCCATATTGCTGTTTCCTTTTCCTCAAAGATGCTCTTTATAGATTCTGGATGATAATCTGTAGTCTGAAATGCATGGCAAATATTTTCTCCCTGTCTGTTATCTTCCTATGTGGAAAATCCATTGTTCGCACCACTAATTGGATAATTCATTTTTTCAACTCGTTTGAAACCCCACCTTTATCATAATTCTCTTGTTATATGTATGACTGTGCATCTGTCTTCCTCTCTTCTGTCCCACTGGTTTATTTTCTTTTCCTGCATCAGAATTAAAGCACTTTAATTATTAGAATAACTTTTTACATTGGGAAGGTAAAAATCCCCCTATATTGCTGCACTTTTTAAAAAAATGTCTGTGTATTTGTGAGCATTTTTTCTTCTTCCATGTGAGCTTATTAGAGTTAGCTTGTCAAGTTCGGCAAAGGAAATTCCAATGAGGGCTTAGACTTAGAAGGCATTGTATTAACAGGTTCTTTGAGATAAATTGCCATCTTTATAATATTTAGTTTTCCCATCCAGAAATACTGTGTCTCTATTTAAGTCTTTTTTGTTCATCCGTTGAGTGCTGTGGTTTTCTTTATGTAAATCTTACATGGGAGGGTTTATTTGTCGCTATTACAAATGAGGTCCTATTTTCCCGTTACACTGGCTTAATTTGTGTTGCTAGTGAATAGGAAGGCTATTGGCTTTTATGTGTTAATTTTTTTCTATCTGGCTGCTTGGCTGAACACTTTTATTAGTGACCTTTACACTTATTTCTTTTTCTTGACTTATCACATTGGCTAGGACTAAAACAATGTAGGAAAACATTGGTTAAAGTCTGCATCCTTGTCTTGTTCATGTCTTTAAGAAGAATGCTTCTGACGTTGTGCCACCAAATAAGATGGAAACACTTCATCATCTTGAAGAAATTTCTTTCTATACCTAGCTTACTGAGAATCGTGCTTTTCACGGTAGACTGCACCAGATTCCTCTCAAGGAGCCTTAATTCTTTTCCTTACATTTTCCTGGAGAATCCTGAGATTGTCCTAACTGACGGGGACCTCCCCGCATTGACATCCCAGCTGAGCCAACATAGTTTAGAACTGAATACAGCGATATCTTCTCTCTTCCTTCATTCACTCACGTTGGACCCTAAATGGCCTAAGGAAAGGAACTACTTTGTGTTGACATTTTCTATTCTCCCCTCCCCCTCCCCCCAGGAGAAAAAATTTAATTAAACACACTGGTGGACAAGAACAATCGCACCACTTCTGGAATTTTCTGGCAAATACCACTGAAAAGATTTTGTTCCTGGCTTCTAGTTTTAAATAACATCCATTCCCCCCGCCCCCCCACTTGATTATCTTGAGTAGCTGAGCACCATCTCACACTCTGGTTGCCAAGTGGCTTTTGAAGTTTCTCTAGGAGGGTGTGAGAAAGGAGTCACTCCGGCCTCTGGTTTCCTGTTGAGATTCCATGTGGGGCACAGGGGGCGGCTACTTCTAACCCTAGGCTCCCAGCACTGCCTTCCACATGGTTCATGGAAAAGAAATGCTTTCATAGTTGGTTGACAACATGATTTAATTGCAGAGTGCATTGGATAATTTTCAGGTGGTACAGTTTTTGCTAAGCTGCCCACAGAAAGGTTTCATTTCTTCAGGCATGCATTTGGCGCGGGACTCTAATGTGACTTGGCACCTGTCTAGAGCGTTGTCGCCGTGTCCAGTGACATTTGCTCTGGGGAAGGCAGCACCTGCTGTGGTGGCATCTGTCACAGTGAAGATGGTGGAATGCCTGTGGATAATGCAGAGCCACCGCAGCAGAGTGCCTCCTCCAGAAAACAATATTAGATTTTGGCAGAAGATAGTCATAAGCAGCATAGACGAGAATGTGGGCTCCTTCTGAGACAAAAGCAATAGATGATGTCTTTTACTGTGGCTTTTCTCATCCAGATGTAAGCTGGGTAGATTTTATTACTGTCAGACTGTTTGGCTAAGAAAGCAAGAACCTGCTAAAAGGATCCTTTCTTTTTATTGCTTTAACGTTTTTGAGGTGGGTGTTTTGGGGAGATGGGGTGGCCTCAGCTTGGGCATGTGGTGTGTAACTGGCCATCACCCAGGCGAGCCCAAGCCAAGAGAGAACTGGAAGCCAGAAACCCCAAGAGGCAAGGCGGCCCCATCATGACAAGCACAAGAAGCTGGTCTCCGAGCCCCTCCCAGTTCCAATGGCGTCGGCTTCAGCTTCTAGGGCTGTTGGTGTAGGAGGTTTCATCAATTGGACGATTATTTTTCCTGCCTCCACATCCTCTCTTTCCCCTAAATCCCCAGGTCCAGAAAACAGGCTGGGGGCAGTGACCAGTAGACTGAACGTCCTCTACCTCTTCTCTTCCAGGCAGGTGACAAACATTACCACCCCAGCTGTGCACGATGCAGCAGATGCAACCAGATGTTCACAGAAGGAGAGGAAATGTATCTTCAAGGTGAGGTGCTCAGGAGCCCAGGAAGTTCTCCCCACCCGGGGAAAGAAAACCTTGTTGTGTGTTTGGTTGGTTGTTTTTAGGGGAGGAGGCATTTCATTAGTTGCAAGGTTACCCAGATCCAAAAGGAGTGTGGCCAGAAGTTACCTCATTGCTTAGTATTAACCAGCTAAGCAATTGACATGCTGGCAGCGAGCCTCTGGGGTTGTTAACAAACAAATGTGTTGCTGCTGCAATGAATGAGCAGGCCTGGGTGTTGGACACCATGGATGTTAGGCAAGAGTGAAGATCACTCCCCCTCCTCCCAACCCTCTCCAGGAACATGTTTGGGAAACAAAAGATCCAAGAGAGAAAACAGTTCTAGAAATGCTGTGCAGTGGTGACTACCTTGTCCGTTCCCTTTTCCCTGCCCTGCCAGAAGGATTTTTGAGGCCTCCCAGGCTGCTGTTGAGAAGGAAATCTCATATTTGGTGAATTGCATCACAGATATATTTCATCCCATTAAGATGACATAGCTCTTATATTGAAGGAGAATGGAGAGAACACACCCAAAGCCCCTGAAAGAGAAATTGAGACGTTGCTGGTGGGATTACCAGGGAGCCATTAGATTTTTTATTTTTTTATTAAGAAGGAAATTGAGAGATTATCCCAGTGTACGACTATGACGGGTTTTTATCTAAAATTCTGAAGCTTCGTGGAGGGGCTCTAGGGGAAGGTTTCCTGCCAGGCGAACAGTCCCATCTGTGCGAGCAGTTCACTATTTTTAGCTGTAAAGGAGTCATTAACCAGACAAGGGCTTATCAGTAAAATTAGCAAGAACCGTAAGAGCTATTGCTCATTCAGTGTTGGTAATTACTGGGTCTCATCGGCTTCTCGATGTCATTTTTCATGTCTCTTTGCACCAAACACTATATTTTTTAAATTTTACTTTTATTGGTGAGGGTATTATAGAAATTCCCCCATTTCCCTCCCTCTTTCTCCCCCCTCCACGGGCTCCTGCCCCACCCCAGGCCTTCACCACGCTATTGTCTGTGTCCATGGGAGATGCATATAAGCTCTTTGGTTAATCTCTTCCTGCACTGGTCAGTCTGTTCTGTGCTTCCATGTCTCTGGGCTTATTTGTTCATCAGTTTATTTTGTTCATTAGATTCCACATATAAGTGAGAGCATACTGTGAATTTTTAATGAGTGATTTCCTTTGCTCTCAGTTTTTTTTTTATGCAACCCAGAAAAGCCTGCAGAAATTACTCCGGAATATTAAAGCAGAGCTTAGGCTACTCTCCCTTTAAAAATGCCGCCTATGTGAGATATTAGCAACCCAAACATCCTCTTAGCTGTAGGATGAGTACTCTGAAAAATTCTGCCTAAAAAAAAAATCACTGAATATTAAAGGGCCCAATAAAGACAAGTGACCCAGATCCCTGGACTCATCTGGGCTTCGTATGATACGTTTCCCGGGGGACACGCTGTGCATCTGCAGGTATGACTGCGTTTCAGAATGGAGCAGGTTTATTTCCACTTGGTCTCCAGGCTTTGTTGTGGGTTTTAGTGTGTCAGTTACAGCCCTCAGAACAAAGACTCGAGTGAGTGTAACCCTGTGTCTGCTGGGAACTGAGACTCCAGCTCTGGGCGCAGCTCTGGGCCTGGAAGCTGCATAGACGGAGCTGAATAGATGTGTGCAAGGACAGCACATCCACGCCACAGACGAGCAGCTATCTGCCCAGATGGGCTGCGTTCAGAATTCCAGGGATCGTTGTACATCTCTTCGCGGGCGCGGTGCTCTTTGCTTGCCTCTCGGCACATCCTTGAAGAAGGAGCAGTTTCATCTTCCCGGGCACCTGATGTTCTCTCTGTGTCACGTTGCTGTGTGCCTGGCCTCCGGGGGACAATGGGACACTGTGCAAGCCCGGGGTTCTGGCCAAGGACTCCCAATCAACAGGCCTTCACGGCGAATGCGCTCCTGAGCTCGGCCCTGACCCCATGGCCCTTGGCTCTCCACATTAAGAGGGTTTCCTGTGCTTTGTAGGCAGCCTTGGAGTAAATGTTGGTGCTGAAGGGACTGTCTGGTGGTGTTTGTTTGTTTCTTCTTCTTCTTCTTCTTCTTCTTCTTCTTCTTCTTCTTCTTCTTCTTCTTCTTCTTCTTCTTCTTCTTCTTCTTCTTCTTCTTCTTCTTCTTCTTCTTCTTCTTCTTCTTCTTCTTCTTCTTCTTCTTCTTCTTCTTCTTTCTTCTTCTTCATTTTTTTCCCCTGGCCCTGGGTTAAGCAAGATAGACCACTATTCATTGACCACTATTTTAGCTCAGTTGTATAAAATAATTCAAGAAGTAGGTTAATTTGGTGTCTTTTCAAGTACAAACAGATTGCTGTTTAAAGAGATAAAGATTTCGACAACGAAATGTAGATACCCTCGTATTCTTAGAGACTCTTATTCCTTATATATCATTTACTCACTGCCTTCAATTTAGCAACTCTATTTGCTTGAATCTTTTTAAGTGCTCCTTCTGGTTCTCCCACCCATCCCCACATTTGAACATGTCCTATGTGTAGGTCTTGGCCATAATTTATAAAGGACATATATATCTGGGCATACAAAATTATACATGCAGGCTTGGATTTTTACAAGATAACAGCTTCCTATGAGATATACGTGTTTTGCTTAGTTCTGGGACCATCCTTAAAAATATTTGTGCCCCGAGAAAGGGAGACATTGACCCAGAAACAGAAAATGACACGTAAGTAATAGCTTCTCTAGTTTAACAGTCAATATTTTTTTAAGTTAGGTAAAAGTTTGAAAGAAGAAGGAAACTTTTGGATTTGTAACGTAACTGTCCGCCTTTCTACTCATTGGTCCGATATCCCGTATCTGGGTAGATGACTGCATATAACTGGATCAACAACACATTCAGTGAGTTTTGCTCCTGAATGTAGGCGACCTGGTTGCACTTCATTTCCCTCATCTAAACTGCTGGTTGTTCTGATGTTATATAAACATGCTGATGGCTCCTCTTTCTGAAAATAATTGTAGCTTGCAGTAAGCACACAGACAATACTTTTAAAGGATAATAATATGGTCAGGGGGAAAAAAAACACAGTCAAGAACTACATATCCCTTGCATGAAAACACTTACGCCCAGCTAGTCATCTCTGCGGTCAAGAATTATGACCTTTCCAGCCGGTGTTGCTCAGTGGTTGAACACTGACCTATGAACCAAGAGGCCACTGTTCAATTCCAGGTCAGGGCACATGCCCAGGTTATGGGCTCGATCCCCAGTGTGGGGGGTGCAGGAGGCAGCTGATCGATATTTCTCTCTCCTTGATGTTTCTATCTCTCTATCCCTCTCCCTGCCTCTCTCTCTAAAATCAATGAGAACATTTTTTTAAAGCAATCTTGACCTTAATCGGGCAAGCTCCGACAAGGTGAGGGAAATTCACCCAGAGTTTGGATTGGTCCTAGGTCACGTGGCACAGGGCTCCAGCTCTCCCCTGTGCTGGGGAGAGAGGGATGAACCCTTCGTACAAGTTCTGTCTAACAGACCCAGGGCTCTGTTCTATTTCCCCTGCTCTTAGCGGTGCCTTATGTCTTTCCAGGTTCTACCGTTTGGCATCCCGACTGTAAGCAGTCTACCAAGACGGAGGAAAAGCTGCGGGTAAGGACATCATTCGAGATGTGTGATGGCAGGTGCATTGGCAAGCCATGTGTTCCCTAGTGGCTGGTTCTTGGGGCGCGAGTGTGGGTGAAATCACGTGGCCATGAGTTTTTTCCTCTATCGCAGACCAAGCTGAAAGGCCTTTTGGCCAGGGAAGGAGGGTCCCTCCTACCTTACATTGATTGTGTGTGTTTTGTCCCAAGTGCTTGTGTTGGACCAAGGAAGCCTTGCCTCACTAGTCAGGTTCCTAGGAAAGCATTCAAGGGAAACGTCAGATCCTCCAGATGTGAAGGAAAATGATTCATGACGTCCTCCTTCCAACATCTGGCGATGTCCTCGCTGGACATTTTTATGCTTAGTCCATAATGCAGCACTCCAGCTCAGACTCCACATCCAGTGCTCAGCTCTCGGTACATCTGACCACCCTCTCACATCCAGCCTCACCCGGGAGCCTCCGTCTCCAAACGCTGATGGTTTGGGGAAGTAATGACGAGGCCAGGCGTGGCAGTGTGGACACGTGTGCTGGGTGGCTTTAGAACTTAACTCTTAAATAGCGTCAAAATGTTCTAGTAACTGTCCTAGACCATCGAGCACACAGGCAAAAGGATGGATCCTCTTTATCTCTCTCTTCTAAAGCCCACTGGTCTTAGTCCATCTCAGAATGCCACCAGGGGACACAATTTTTATTTGTTTCCAAAGCAAAGGGTCTACACAGTTGTCAGGTCATTATCGGGATCTGTATCCTGTTTAGGCACCCCCAGTTTTTCACCTGAGCAATAATCAGATGGGATCCAGACCCCAGGCCCTCCATTTAGCTAACTGAGCGGTGCCCTTGGAAAAACTGGCATTTGACTGTAATCCACATGGTGTCTCAGGGAAGAGAATGGACTGAATTTATTTTGAAGGCCAGACTAGAGTGTGGTCTCATTTCTCCACAATCTGCCATTAACAGGCATAAGAAGCTGTGTGTGTAACCCCAGTAGGAGCACACTTTAAGTGGAGGGGAAAAAAGCCACTTTTTCTCAGAATAATTGAGTAAAGATAAGACAAACTGAAAAATCATGTGCCCTAGTATCGGGACGGTTTGGGTTTCTGGTTTGACATATAGTGTCAACTTGAGCACATGTATAGCCCTCACTGCCGGGCCCGTGTTTGGGCTCCAGATTCTGGGATCTCTGAGGAACCACGGATGCTATGGCAACGGGGTATCTTTATAAACTACTAGAATGTTAAAGATGGTGCTTATTGTCACTTTTATCATAAAAATGTAAAATTCACAACATGGCGTGGGGATCCTGCCCAGAAACCACCCAAGTAGCCAGTGGTTTGCACTGTCTTCTGAATAATCTTTTTATTTCATCCCCTATGAAGTCTGTGGGAGACAAAGGCAAGAATGCTAATGAGGCCAGACTGCATGGAATGGGGTCTTTTCTCTTGAAGGAAGGAATCCTTGAGTTTGCAGATGGTGTTACTAAAGTGATTTTTTTTAAAAAATCAACGCTTTTAGTTGCATCTTGAGGGGACTCTCTGGATAAGCTTATGAAAACAACTAGTGACTAGTTCCACCCGTTCTAGCCCAGGGGGCTCTTGTTTCTCCTTCATTTCTTGAAGCTTTACCAGAGAATTCCAAAGCTCCTCCCCTAGAGCCCACATATACCGCTTGCGAGGCCAGGCTGCCCTCGGCTCGGTCACCTTTGGGACGTCAGTAGTGAGGAGAGTGACGTACCTCCAAGGGGAAGTGGTCCCGGTGGGCCCCGAGTGGGGTACGTGCCGACGTGGTGAGACCTCCAGGGGAGCTGGTGTCTGAATGAGGGAGTACATGTCGTGCTCTCTGACGGGTGTGTCTGAGGTCACAAATCTCGAGCCCAGATTTCCAGGCCTTTCCCCGGGTGTCCCGTTCGTGCAGTTGCCATAGCAAAAGGAAAATGTTTTAGAGTCTTTCAGCAGCACCACGGAGTGAGCCACATTCTTGATGTTGGAAAACTCACAGGGGGTGTTTGTGACAACAGATTCTTAAAGGGACATCTCTCAATGGCTTCACTGGCTTCTTCCACTTCATAGGGCAGCGATTCTCAACCTGTGGGTCGCGACCCCTTTGGCGGTCGAACGACCCTTTCACAGGGGTCGCCTAAGACCATCCTGCATATCAGATATTTACATGACGATTCATAACAGTAGCAACATTACAGTTATGAAGTAACAATGAAAATAATTTTATGATTGGGTCACAACATGAGGAACTGTATTTAAAGGGCCAGAAGGTTGAGAACCACTGTCATAGGGGATGTTTAGGCCAAAATAAATGAGTGTGGAACGTAGGCAACTATGCTGCATCTTGGAGACTAGTTAATATGCTTCAAACACGGGCCCCAAACATACACATTCACACACGTCTACTAAAGCGAAGACCCTTGGTGTGTACTGTCAAATCTGTTTTCCCCAGGGCATTTTTCTAGTGTTTCTGAATTGAGTTTATGTCTGTTCATTCTTCCTTTGTTTCCTGTTTCACGGCAGCCGCCAAACACTCGGCATTCTCCCTCCGATTTCTTTTATCCCAAAAGTCTGATCCGACGCACAGGACGGTCTCCGTCGCTGCAGGTTGGCACTGTGTGTGGGCCAGGCTTCTGCCGCTCTCCCTCCCGTGCTGCTTCTCCTACGTAACCGCCCGGGCCCCCCGCTTCCTCTCACCCCACAGAGTGCACCTCACGTCTGACTCTGGCTGTCTCCTCTGATCGGCCTTTTCCTGTAGAGCAGTGGCTACAGCGTTGTCTTGATTAAAGCAGACACCTTAGAAGCTACCCGTGTGGTCCCGTGTTCACACGTTTGTTCATTGAACAAATAATTTGCCAAGCACCAGGCATAGTGTGGGCTGGATGCTATAACGTAGACTAGTCGGGAAGAGCAGACAGATAGGCAAATAATTATGGAAACATATCACAGGAAGTGGATCGCATCGATCAGGGCGGGTCAGATGAGCAAAAGGGTGCAGGGGGCACTTCCTCGAGGCTGGGCGAGACAGGGGTGCCCAGAGGGAACAGCAAAAGCATGGTGCTGGGCACAGGCTTTGGTAGGGAGTGGTTTGGCTCAGAAAGAGGTAGTGAATTAGGAGAAGAAACAAATGAGACCAGGCACCTATCCTTCAAAGGCTCAGAGATTTACATGCACTCTCATCCACTCTTTCAGAGAATTCCTGTGTGAGAGCTATCCTTATTCCCATTTCACAGGTGGAGAGACTGAGACCTATCGTAGTTAAGTAACTTCCCGAGAGTTACCCACCGATAAGTGGAAGGGCTGGGATGGGAACCCACAATTCATGTTCTTTCCACTGTTGCACAAGGGGAGAGAGAGAGGAAGCTGGGAAGACAGAGAGAGGAGCGCATTAAATGCTGGCTACGTCTGATGGCAGCATGACCCGTCGGGGTCCCACAGAAGCAGGGAGCATGCAGCCAGCTCCACAGATGAGCAGTGAGGCAGGAGGTGGTGCTCCCAGCACAGATGCATCTCTGAGAATCAGTTGAAACCTTGGCCTGTTGATCGACAAAGTGACCTTCCACACCTGCCTTTGTGCACACGCGAAGCCTATCTGTGGCTCTGCCGGCAACGCCAGAGGGCAGTGCCGCTCCCGCCTGGGCTCCGCCGGCGCCTCTGCCCTGGGCCTGCCAGGCCCGCACTCAGGAGGAGAAGGGTTTCGGTTTAAACTTCTCCTTGGAATGATTTGAAACGCAGTTAGATGTATCGAGCTCTAAAGTGGAAGGAAATCTTTCAGACATCAACCCCTAAGCTGCTTTGTCGGCAGAATGGAGCCCGCCCCCGGCTGCGCAGGCCATCGGCAGGGCTCCCCGCAGACTCCAGGCCTCGGGGCTGTTGCGTTGGCCCGCGATGCTGGGTGCCTCCAGCGTGGGCTTGTCATGTGAGTTTCATTCTGTCTTAATGCTTCAGCTCCAGCGGTGGGGTTTCCCATAAAGTGGAATTATAGTCTCGTGAGCCAAAGATCGAACCCACTGTAAATGAGAGTGCCCAGAATGAGTGCCTCTCCTCGGCAAGAAGTGGCTTTTTTTCAATAATTTGGGTGTCTGCCCCCCAATAGGACACTTTATAACTCAAAGAGTGTTCTATTTCACCAGCCTAAGGCTGCAACCAGGTGATGCCTCCTCGTGACTTGGAGGGAAAGACCACCATCAAGTGTGAAGTATTTTGGTTTGCACCAGACCCTTACATTTAAGAGATGCGGAGCATGGCGAGAAGAGATGGGTCAGAGAGAGAGAGAGACCTGTCTTGAGTAACTTCTCTCTTCCTATCCTGTTATTCAAAGGGGACATCTGATCCCCATTATCCAGTCATAAATATCAAGTCACCGGTGGCTCCTTCACAGAAAGCTGTAGCTGTAGACAGTTTGGGGCCTGGCAGAGAAAACAGGCCTTTGGCCGAGGTCCCCTCCACCCCGTGCCACTGAAGAGCTGGATGTGAAGAGCAGATTGGGTCTATAAGTCACACTCAGTACTGAGCGCTTGCAGTTCCTGCTGCCATTCACTGTAGACAAAGCTCATGATGTTCCCGGAACCACCTTTGGAATAACTCGAGGGGGACACTTGCTTTCATTCTAAAAGTGGGCTTCTCTGCTGTGGCTTTGGAGTCTAGAGCATGAAAGGGCTGCCATACAAACTGGATGTGAGGTTTTTGTTTCTTTTGAAACTAACATTCACCTGTTATAGCATACGCTCTTACAAACCTGCAACACAGGGGTCGGCAAAAGTAGGGTCACAGTTCTGAGTACGCAAAACAGAGTTTATTCTGGTATTATTATTTGTTACTGTATTATTTTCCATACCAACAACTGTGAACCTACATTTGCCCAACCCTGTATACAAAATACCATGTGTGTATTTTATATAAATATATATTTAATCCACACCCAAGTTTATGTTTTACTGATTATTTTAGAGAAAGGGCAAGGGAGAAATGAGAAAGAGAGAGAGAAGTATCGATGTATGAGAGAAACATTGATCTGTAGCCTCCCCTCCCGTATGTGCCCCCACTGTGGATTGGACCACAGTCTAGACATGTGTCCTGACCAGGAATCCAACCAGCAATCCTTCGGTGCATGGGACGATGCTCCAACCAAGTGAGCCACACAGACCGGGGCTCATGTGTATATTTTTTTAAAGGAGCTCATTAGGGCCGTATGTATGTCTAGAACAAAGGAAATCATATCGTGGATTTTTGTTTTATTAAGGTCGCTACAATACATGCTGCGTTATTCCCAGCTTTCGCCCTGTTCGAATGTTTTGTTCTTGTTGGTCTTTACAATCCATCAGGATGTGTAGGTATCACGATGGATGCTGGAGAGACAGTGAGGCCTCCCGGCCGTAGTGAAGGCTGATGGCATCTGTGAAACTCTCCGGAGAAGGGGGTTGTGCCCTTTGGCCCCTCCTGCTTCCTCTCAAACACAAATTCCTGTTTCCAAAGTAGTTGGTCGCACCCTTTCTGGAGAGTCAGTGTTTGCAGGTTTTAAAAGTATTCCTTCTTCTGCAGCGACCACTGCCTTGTCTAGTGAACGTCAACAAAAACCCAAGGCAGGTACTGTCAACCTCAGCGGCACTCTGCGTAAGGTGTCAGTCACCTTCTGACAGTAGTTGTCCCGTAGGTGCTCATAAGATCTGTCCCATCTGGTTGCCAGCTGCCTGTAGTGTCTCCCCTTCTTAGAGCATGGCTTTGGGTGAATGCAAAGTAGATGAAGTAGTTGTTGCATCCTGCTCCTGCTGAGTGGGGAGGGCGGGGGCAGTGAGGGGCCTGCTGGCACCCGCCTTCTAAGACTGGACGAGGCGTGCATGGTGGCCATAATCGACAGTAAATGGAAAATGTCGTTTCTCTGCTCACTCGCCAGGCAGAGCTCTGGTAAGTTTGTTTGTTTGTTTTTAATGGCAATATTTGAAGGATGACAAGAGCTGGAGTCGAAACAGATCTTCAGTGTAATTTTCAGCCTGTGACTCTGCCCTCTGAATGGTAGGACAGATGGACAATGTCAACACCTAGGGGGAATCAGCAGAAAGGTGGTTAGAGGGCTTTTTTTTTTTTTACACAAAGATTTCATACAGAAAACAAAGATGTGCGTTTTCAAGCATCTGCTGTTAGTGATCAAATGCCATTTTTTTCTCTTTCCCCTTGAAATGAACTACTTAGTCTACTGGTAAGACCTCTCTTTGTTGGTGGGGTTATTTTTGTTTGTTTGTTTTGAAGAAAATAAAAATCTTTATTGAAATCAAAAGTGAGTGCTTGACGGTTTGCTAAGAAATAAATGTAGGTCATACAGGCCCCTTCTTCACCAGAGATTGAGTGAGGACTGCCCATACAACTAGAAGGATCTTATGTTGCCAAATACGATGAAGTTATTTGGCTAATCTTATTGGAAAAATACTCTGAGAGGTCACAGCCATTCACAACCTTTTCTATATCTGTATGCCTTCTCCACCCTTCCCTCGCTCCCCATTCCCCCCTCCCCGCTCCCCTTTTCTGTTTCTGTTTCTTTTTTTCTTCTTCTTTTGGCCAAAGAACTGGATTTTTCCAGCTGTGCTTTCAAGTTGTTGTTTTCTGCAAAGCTGAAGGAAAAGGTGCTTAAAGAAAAGCTGGTAAATGGCATATGCCTTCAACAGCTTCGTCACAGTCCTTGTTCCCTGTCTCTGTGGGCATGCCTCAGGGGAGAAATATTTGACATTATCTTCATTTATAATGTAGGCAAGAGAGTCCTTTTGTTCGTCATAACTTTCACAGAGGATTCCAGAAACAAAGGCTGTTGGCCCAGTGGGTTGTTGAATGCATGTAGTAACTTCTGGGTCTCTGTTGTTAGCCTGGATATCTGAGTGGGTTGAAATAGTAACTCAGGTTAAATAATTGTGCACAAGGATCATCTGCAGAAATTCGGATCATCAGTAAACTTTTGTCACAGCCCAATGGGGTGACGTAGAGTTAAGTTAGCGGTAAAGAAGGGATTTTTAAGAAGGAAAGCATGTCTGGAGCTTGTGCTTTTGAGGTTGACACGTGTTTCCGTTTGAGTGGATTTGAGCGGCTCTGTTGGGAGACAGCTCTGGGCCTTTTGATGATGTTTGATGGGTAGAGACCCTCACTCAGCAGGTTTTGTGTTAATTAGACGGAAAAATACAGCAGGAAGAGGAAAAGGGGTTCTTTGAACAATAAACAAGATATTTATTTAAAATGCAACATGTTAAAGTTCTAGATCTTTAGAATCAAAATGTAAAATTCCAAATACTGAAGATGGAAACTCTAATAGTTCCGTTCTTCAAAGTACTTTTATGATCGTCCTAAGGGAGAGACCTCTAATCTCTGCTGATTGAGCAAACACACTTCGGGGGCCACAAGGGAATGTGACAAAAAGCAGCGATCCCGCGTGCGCTTCAGCCTTGAGCGCAGGTCAAAGGGCAGCCAGCCAAGCCCTGTCCTGGCAGATGAGACGGGCCCGGGCAAGGTCACCGGTCAGCGCCAGATGCACAGAAGGGCGTTAATGACTGGCGCTGAGACCTAGGCAGGATGCACTGCCTCGGAGGATACAGAACCACCTCCGAGGGGCCTTCCCAAGAGGGGGAGGCCAATTGTGAGCTCCAGGTAGGACCTGCGATAAGTTACTTAACATCTGAGTTCTGATGGAGCCGCCTACGTGTGGCAGCTGTGGAGAGCTCTAGGGAAGTCTGGTCCACGCAGCACACGTTCTAGAGGACTGTCCACCCTTGAGCAGAACAGAGTCAGCACCGTCCTTCATGTTTCAGATTAACTGGCTAAGAAACCCAGTCTAACGTCAAATGTCTGGGAAGTGCCAGGCAAGATGCTTGAGCTTTAGATGTACTGTCTCATTCCTCCCTGTGAAGTGGGGGCTATTAGTACCCTCTCCTCCATTCTATAAATGGGGACGTTGAAGCCCAAGGAAGTGGAGAGAGAGAGAGAGAGAGAGAGAGAGAGAGAGAGAGAGAAGAAAACTGCATGTAATGTCACACAACCGGTAGAGCCAAGATTTTGAACTAGCCCTTTCACCTCGCTATATTACAGGATACAAAGTTGTGTTTTATCCCATTAGTTCATTTTAGACAGGAAAGCAGAGAAGGGCTATTGTACGAAAATAGGCAAGTGAGACTGTAGTCCACCCATACACAAGATGCCTGTGGAAGTGAATGTCACAGCGAGGTCAGGAGATCAGGATGAAGCAGAAGCAAACAGTGGTGAGCGCAATGAAAGGAAGAGCCATTCTGAACCCGCAAGAGACTTGAACGTTTCTCAAACATCGCTAAGGAGTCTGACGACGCACATGGCGCCCGAGTGATCTCCAGCAAGAGCCCAAGCCTCGGTGGATGTGGTGGACATTGACTTGACCTTGAAAACTATCTGATTCTAAAACTCTAAAATATTTACTTTGGAATCAGACTCTTGGGCAGGGGTATACAGATTGGAAGTGATTCTGATCTGAATTACCAGTAAAGAATCAAATGAGACAATAAAAATTCAGGTTGGTGGATAACTCTTAAACCCTTTAACCCAACAATATACTAGTAAATGAAGCAGATAGATGCTTCTGAGAACGCTGATATGGCTCACTGGACCATCAGATCCACTGAGGGAGCAAGGCTGAGAGAGACCGAGCGGAAACAGGCTGGCTCAGCCACGGGGCCTCTTCTCTTCCAGGGAAGAGAGCATTAGAGACCCTCCGACGTGCACTCGTGTTCTCCAGCTGTGTTCCTGTGAGCACACGCAGGGCAGGAGAGAACAAAACACTGCGGAGCCAGCCCAGGTGCATTGTTACAGCAAAGGCAGAAAGAATCCCTGACCCACATTTGGCAGAAAGTCAGGATGAGTAACGTGGGCGAGACCCTCAGGCTCAGTGTGCTCGTGGTCATTCACACGGTGTCCTTACCAGTAAAGAATCAAATGAGACAATAAAAATTCAGGTTGGTGGATAACTCTTAAACCCTTTAACCCAACAATATAGTAGTAAATGAAGCAGATAGATGCTTCTGAGAACACTGACATAGCTCACTGGACCATCTGATCCAGTGAGGGAGCAAGGCCGAGAGAGACCGAGCGGAAACAGGCTGGCTCAGCCACGGGGCCTCTTCTCTTCCAGGGAAGAGAGCATTAGAGACCCTCCCGACGTGCACTCGTGTTCTCCAGCTGTGTTCCTGTGAGCACACGCAGGGCAGGAGAGAACAAAACACTGCGGAGCCAGCCCAGGTGCATTGTTACAGCAAAGGCAGAAAGAATCCCTGACCCACATTTGGCAGAAAGTCAGGATGAGTAACGTGGGCGAGACCCTCAGGCTCAGTGTGCTCGTGGTCATTCACACGGTGTCCTAGATGCTGTTCGTGAACACAGGCCTTTGTCATAGCAACGCCAGTAACTGAAGACATCTGACTGTCCTGCATCCTCCCCTGCCCCACCCCAGTGCAGTCAGCCAGTGTGGGGTCCTCACCCCACCCCAGCACAGCCAGCCAGTGTGGGGTCCCTACCCTCCCCAGCACAGCCAGCCAGTGTGGGGTTCCTACCCCACCCAGCACAGTCAGCCAGTGTGGGGTCCTCACCCTTCCCCAGCACAGCGGGCCAGTGTGGGGTCCTCACCCCACCCCAGTGCAGTCAGCCAGTGTGGGGTCCCTACCCTACCCAGCACAGCCAGCCAGTGTGGGGTCCTCAACCCACCCCAGTGCAGTCAGCCAGTGTGGGGTCCTCACCCCACCAGCCAGTGTGGGGTCCCTACCCCACCCAGCACAGCCAGCCAGTGTGGGGTCCTCACCCCTCCCCAGCACAGCCAGCCAGTGTGGGGTTCCTACCCCACCCAGCACAGAGCTCTAGAGCAGGGTTCTCACCCCACCCAGCATGGGGAGCTAGTGGCAATAAAAGTATTTTCCGTTTGCAGGCACTCTTTTCTGCTACTTGATCTCAATATTTTTCTTTATTTCCACCTCCTCTGTCCCATAGCTATGTTGATGGGAAATAAATGGCCCCAGTTACCTTATGCTTGGGGGGAATTTTAGTGCAGGATGAAGAGCTTGGGCTGTCCCCCGGGTTCAGATCCTGACACTTGCCTGTCTGTGTGGCTTGGAGCATGCGTCCTTTTTCCTCATCTGTGGAATAAGCAACCGGCCTCATGGGGCTATTGAATGGTTAAATGAGACCAGCCTGGGAAGGGCCTGCCGCACAGTAAGTGGGCAATAACTATTAGCTGCTCTTAGCATTCTCCTGTTGTTCCTTAAGAGGTTTCACTTTGACATTGGGTTTGGTCAATAGTAGTTCCAGGTCACTGGAAACTGAGGACAGCCTGTGGCTCATGGGTGCCCTGCAGGGGGCGTATTCGCTCAGTTTTACCAAGGCTGGCGTCTCTTCTTAATGGAGGGCTGGCCTTGGTGTCACTTCTGTGTGTTGATTAGGAAATGGATCAAGGAAACGGACTTGCGAGTAGTGTAATTATGTGAATCCTTTCTCAATGTACTCAGATTGGGGCATTTTCTCATATTGCGACATGCCTGTGGCTGGAAAATTGTAACTAGAAAGAAAGTGCTTAAACATGGCAGGCCTTGGGGTGGGGGGTGGGGCAGCCGCCCTGAGCCTGGCACAGGCCCACCTGGGCACGGTGTGAGTCCCCACCCCCACCCGCCCTCCTTCTCAGAGACCAGAGACCTGGCTGAGATGATCAGTGCTTCCTGTCAGAGTGAGTCCGGTCACTGCCGGCCTTGTGTGGGCCGGGGAGGTGTGTGTGTGTGGGGAGGCCTCTCACCGTTTCAGAGCTGAGTTACTTAGCGATCAGTGCTTCCTGTCAGAGTGAGTCCAGTCACTGCCGGCCTGTGTGGGCCGGGGAGGTGTGTGTGTGGGGGGAGGCCTCTCACCGTTTCAGAGCTGAGTTACTTAGTGATGCCACATCCTAGTTCTTAGGAGTCCTTTTCACTCAGTGACATTCCTATTCCAGGTGCTAAACAGCAGTGGAAACTTCCCTAAAGTAGATCTAGAACTTACCTTCTCCAAGAAAGAGCTACAGGGAGAGCAGGTCCTCCGAGACCAGGCCTTTTCCAGAAGGGGCCGAGCTGTGGTAGGAGGCAGTGAGTCCGGCTCATGCATTTCCCTCCCGCCCCTGTCACCACAGGGTTCTCTAAACATCTGCTCTAAAGAGGAGTTTCTCTTATCTTACCTAGCGGCTGACCGGTGTAACTGGGCTCAAATTATGTCTTTAATATAAGTCAAGGGCCCACACACGGAGTGTTTGTTTAAAATTAATTCATTCTAGCTCATTCCCTCAACAAATATGTGCATCCTCTTTGTACTTGTGCAAATCATTGGGCATACACCGTGAAGAAATAAACCCTATGTGGACAGAGATCACAACTAAAGTTAATGAGGGAGATAGGCATGATGCAAGGAAACCAATAACCATGCAGTTATACATTTTATTCCTGAGGGGGAAGAGTGGCACTATGAGAAAATAACCAGGGCAATCAACTCCGGATTGAAAAATCAGGGAGGGCTTCTTTGAGGAGGTGATATTTAAGCTAAGACTGAAGGAGGGGGAGAGGGAATCAACTAAGTAACATTGGGGCTCAGGGCATTTCAGACAGAGGGAGCAGCGAGGTAAGAGCCCTGAGCATGCACCAGGTCCTGTGAGCGATGGGGTAGCAGAGAACAGCAGGGACCAAATCCTGAGGCCCAGGAGTGTGATTTTGTTCTAAGAGGACACCGAAGCCAAAGCAGGATGGTGATGATCCAAATTATGTTCTTAAAGGCCTCTCAGGCCACTGGGTACCAAGTAGATTCAGAAAGAGCAAGAATGAAGGCAGAACCCCACAGAGGAGGTCATGGTCACAGTCGAGATGCGGAGGTGGTGGCAGGGGGTTGTGGCAATGCAGACAGAGAGAAACGTGCTTGCAGACAGAGCCGGGACCTGTAGGGGACAAGGGAGAGAAGGTAGAAAGCACCCCCACCCCATGCACTTTCACGACTGACTGCGCAGCTAGCTATCCACCTTTCTCTCCAGGTTATTCAGTAAAGTTACAAATCTCTCCTTTTTTAACCAGCTTGGTTTTGAGCAAAGCTTAGGGACTCAGGTCAGTCTTGAATCTGCAGCCGTGGCCTGAAATCTTACATGTCACTGTCTGTTTCACAGCCCACCAGGACTTCCTCCGAAAGCATCTATTCCAGACCAGGCTCCAGCATCCCAGGGTCCCCGGGCCACACTATCTATGTAAGTCTCCACTTCTGGAAGGGACTTCCGGGACAGGCGAGGTAGCCGTCGTCATAGTGGATGGATAATGCAAAATGGAACGATTCAAAATGACTTCTGTTTCTCTTCTGAGACCATTTTCATTTTTGTAGATCAGCCTTCTCAATCATGTACTCCTTCAGGAACTTAAATTTATCTGTGAACCTGATCATCCTGAGCTATCAAGTAGATGATCCATAACATGCAGAAATACGATGCAGGACTTAAAAACTATTGTGCCTAGCTTGCAGCTAGATATTTGGGGATTAATTATACACTTTATTTATTTATTTATTTACTTACTTATTTACTTACTTATTTATTTTTGGTTACTCCTCACCTGAGGATATTTTTTCCATTGATTTTTAGAGAATGGAAGGGAAAGAGGAAGAGAGAGAAGGAAACATCAATATGAGAAAAACACATTGTATGGCTGCTTTCACACACCCCAACCAGGGCCAGGGATCAAACCTGCAGCCCAGGTACATGCCCTTGGCCAGGAATCGAATCTGAGATACTTTTGGTGTGCAGATCAACACTCTAACCATTGAGCACATGGGCCAGGGCAAATTATACACTTTATAATGCTGACACTGAATATTCTTAAATTCTGCCACCAAGGTATTTAAGTATTTAGTTATTGGTTAAATATGCAGTTATTGATTTTAGCCAGGTGGGAGTTTTCCTTCTCTGGAGTAAATTTAGGGAAATATCCTGAAGGTGTATAGGCTTCTGTACTTGATGAATTCCATACAGACTTTTTCCTAAGCTTTTGGTGACTTATAGTTTTAATGTGATTAATATATAAGGGGCAACTTTCTAGAATTCACCTGCGCTAAGCTAGGTGTTTTGTTTCTGTCTATTTTTAAGGTTGCCGCTTTTTGAGCACGTAATGAAAAGCACAAGCAGCAGTTCCCCGGAGGTGAGACTGCAGAGTAACCTTTCTCTCTGCTCTTTGCCAGGCAAAAGTGGACAACGAAATCCTGGATTACAAGGACTTAGCGGCCATTCCCAAGGTCAAGGCAATTTATGATATCGAACGTCCAGATCTTATTACCTATGAGCCTTTCTACACTTCCGGCTATGATGACAAGCAGGAGAGACAGAGCCAGGGGGAGGTAAGAAGCTCCTACAAGTTGTGAGTCATGCAACAGCTTACGTCTCTTTTGTCATGTGTATAAGAACTACCGTTTGGAATCCAGGCCAGTCAGAGGGTCCTTTTGATTGCACACTATTCGCAGCCTTCCATCCCAGGTGCTTCAAGGTCCTCAAAAACCTGTGCTTGGCCTCAGGAGGTTACAGAGAGGCCGGGGAGCAGACCAACCGCACGAAAACCAGGTGAAGGACGAGTGAGCGTTCGTACCGGGTGGTAGGACAGAGGAGCCGGCCTGCTGAGAAGGAGGCCAAGCTCACAGGGGAGTCTGTGAGCTGCACAGAAGGAATAAGGCAGGAGGGTCTCCTGGGTGGGGGTGGCGGGGTGGGGAGGTCTGGTCTTGGGGCCAGCTGAACTATATTTATAGGGATCGTGAGGAGAGAGAGTACACCCCGCAATTTTGACAGCTGCAGTTTTTAACACAGGGTGATAATTAGTATGTGCAAAAATAGAAGAATTTCGAGAGAATGGTGCCACGATATAGTACAGGCGTATGCGCCAGGGTTCTGGAATCAAATCACCCGGCGTAACCTGGGGACGCCACATGCTGGTTGCATGAGGTTAGCCATGTGACAGCCATGGTGACCTAGTTTCTTTACCTGCACAACAGGGTCATGACAGAATCTCCCTCCGGGTGACAGTGAGGGTTAAATTAACTACCAACTCAAGATTAATATATATATCATATCTAAGCAGTTATTATCTGTGAAAGCTCATGTATATGAACTAACCTTTTGTAGCAGTTAGCAGAGAGCCAGGCTGGCGGCAAATATTCAGCTGTGAGGTGACAGTTGTTACTGTGGTTTGTACCTGTCCCCTAGAGGTGTGCTAATGCTTTCCCAGCCGACCATCCTGCTGCTGGGCCAGCCACTGAGCCTGGCCCCCCCCCCCCCCCCCGCCCCGGGCTGGGAGTTTCCTGCTGTCTCCTCCTACCCAGGTCTCTGGGCTCTGCTGTATTTCCCCTGGACTAAATTATTTTTCCCCCTCTAAATTTGCTTCCCTGTTATTTTTTTAAACCAGAATCACGTATACAATAGTTTGAGTTCACTCAGATATACGTTACTCAAGTTCTGGTCTGAAATCAGCCGTTCAACCAAGGTCGAAAAGGACTGTACATGTAACATCACACAGTGCCATGCGATCTTAAATGAAGAAAAAGCGTGAAAATGGGACTTTAATTTGTTCACAATTATTACATAATATTTATTTTGTAATTATATTTACTTATAGTCCTATTTCTGTTTCTTTAGAAATATCACATATTGTTCTTTTTTGTTTATTTTCCCATCTGGGTTTTACTCTGCATTGAAATGGTCTGTTGGGCAGGGAAAGTGATATCCGTTTTCACGTAGTGCCATCTAGTGGTCAAATAGGCGTAGCTGCACCTGCGGCCACTCAAAGGCAGCTGTAGGAGCTACTTGTTGATGTATTCCTTCGGTTATTAACACTTCCTTCATAGAATCCTTATACTGCCATTCTAGAAACCCCGGAGGAGTAAACTTGAAATTCTGGGTGCCTTAGAAAGTAGGGGTAGGGCAGAGCCTGAAGGTGAATGGTGGTAAGGTTGGCAAGGCCACCAGGGCAGGATGCCACAGACCTGGTCCTTACAGGCCTGTTTCGGTCATCAAACCATTGTATGTGATTGCTGTGCTTATCATTTAGTTAATAATCATGTTCACTGAATTCTGTAGACACTGTAACTCAGAGTAGTAAACAGCACTGGTTGAGCATAGAGGGGGAATAACTCCCATTTGTCTAGCTCAACCACATGTATTTACCAAAACCCATGGTTCTTAGGCAGGAACATGCGCCACAGTCACCCGGGAACTGTGTGCCTGCCGAGCCCCACTCTCAACTCGCTGCATCAGGAACGGGGGCAGGCAAGGGGTGCTGGCACGTGTATTTGGAATAATGTTTCCAGATGATGCTGACATACAACACTGACAACTGACAAGTTAATAAACATAGTGATTTTGAATTCTCTCTTGTTCTTCTAGTCTCCAAGGACTTTGTCTCCTACTCCATCCGCAGAAGTAAGTGCCATTCTTGAAATTTATAGTGGGTGGAGATGGGGAGTTGCTCGGACCTGTCCTAGCCTAGGATTTGGGGGAAAGGACATTAAATAAAAGAACAGAAAAACTGTGCGTGAGATAATGATGAATTAGAGGCGTGGTGCACAAAATTTGTGCACTCAGGGAGGGGGGCCCTCAGTCTGGCCTGCACCCTCTCACAGTCCAGGAGCCCTTGGGGGATGTCTGACTGCCATGGAGGTGGGAGAGGCTACCACTGCTGTGCTCGCCAGCCGTGAGCCCGGCTTCTGGCTGAGAGGCGCTCCCCCTGTGGGAGCGCACTGCCCACCAGGGGGCAGCTCCTGCGTTGAGCATCTGCCTGGCTGAGAGCTCCCCCTGTGGGAGCGCACTGTCCACCAGGGGGCAGCTCCTGCTTTGAGCATCTGCCCCCCTGGTGGTCAGTGTGCATCATAGCAACCGGTCATTCAGCTGTTTGGTCGATTTGTATATTAGCCTTTTATTATATAGGATGTAGGCCTCCTCGCAGGTAAGATAGGGCTATAAGACACAGCAGTAAAGTTCTCTTTACATGGAGACTGTGGGGTAAAATCAGCCTATGGCCTGCGCCTGTGCTTCTGAGTGGTAGGAAGGGTCTACAGGGAGTGAGGCCACTTGTCCCAATATGAGGCTCTCTCCCCTTATCCATAGTTACTGACCCAAATCCTAGCAGACTGGATTATCTGAAATGGCTAACAATGGTCATAGTGTGTCCTATGAACAGCCACCTTCATAGGAGGCCACACCTTTTAGCCTAAAATAAATTATCTTTTCCCCCTTCTCTGGGTAAACAGACTTTACAGTGGATGTAGTACCGATCTCCAAAATATAACAACTCCCTCACACTGTACCCCACATCCCAGTGTCAGGAGTTTCTAGGTTTACCCTCCCCCCACATTCACTACCTACTTGGTGACCAGTGGCTTTCTGTCGTCCCTGCATATTTTTCCTTTGCGGGGTGGCTCTGAGACTAGTGGCCTAAGCTCAGACCAGCCCAGACCTGAGCATGGTCCAGCACCAAGTCTGCCTCAGCCCTTTCTTTCATTGTAGCCATTACAGCTAATAACCAAGGGACTGTGTATCCCTTGTGCTTTCTATTATTTTGCATTTCCTTATGTATCCAATGAGCAAACTCCTCCAGAGTTAGATCTAGCTAGCCCTACCTAAAAATAACAATAAATAAAATCAATAGTCTTGTCTCAAAACCAAGCAACTTTCTGGATCTTCGACATAAAACTGAACTGATCTTAAGTAATTGCTATAACCATACAGGAAAAACTCGGTAGTATTCTGATGGTCTGTGGCTGCGGCCTGTGAATAATCAATTTCTATTAGCATTCTGATCATTACAGCTGAAGTTATGAAGAATTAACTTCTCTTATTGACCAGTTGCAAGATTCAGGCACATTATCTGGGGAATTTTTGTTTCGTTGTTGTTTTTATTTGATTTATTGTGACAGCCCGTTAGGATCAAGCCAAAGCCTCTTGCCATGTGCTTTCAGATTTCATGCAGCCCTCGGTGCTGAGGTTTTAACATAGTCATTGCTCACACACGCTTCCCACCTTCTATTGTGTCAGCAGAAACTTCATGGGTCAACAAATTCCTGAAATGCCAAGCATTCTAGTACTCTCGTCATCCTTTAAATAGCGATATATTATGTTGATGCGTGGGGCTTTTTGCCCTTTATACCTAATACATTATTTTCTAGACTTGGACACGGGTGACATGCTGATGGTATTATTATGCCCTCATTTACTTAATTGCTCCCCAACTTGCTGAGCATGTAATACAAAGTTTTCTCCTTAAAAATGGTGGTATTTTAAATATCTTTGAGTAAATTCTAAAGATCATTTAAAGATCTTTTTTTATTATTTCCTTGGAATATGTTTCCCAAAGTTGAAAGTAGAATGACTGAGGCCACCACCAGCTTGTTCTCCGGGAAAATCGGCTTAAAATGTCACCAGATGAGTGTTGCGGACACTGTGGGCTGGTGGTCAGAACAGGGGCTGAGACTAGAGCAGGAGGTGGGCTCTGAGGCGGGCTCTGCCTGTACAAGCTACGCTCGTACCCATGGGTCTCTTACCTGCTTGGAATCTTCTGGAACAAGGGGAAGCAATAGCATGTGTCCCACCTTATTGTGCAGGTCTGATGAAACGATGTATGTGAGCAAACGTCATAAGCCTAAAAAGCCCAATACACACGTAGTCATTGGAATTACTCCCTTATCCCAGAACTCTGTCAACACTGGAGTCTGTCATGCCTACTTGTCAGAATTGGGGTAAATGCAAGTACGACAGGTCTTGAACAGAAGGCGTGAACCACCGATGCTCGTCTGCATGATGTTTAAGGACCAGGGCCCTGAAGTGTATCCATGAGCCCCTGGGTAGCTTTCGTGGGACTCGACATCACTTGAACGTGACCGTGGCCTGAGTGCACGCTTTGTGCCCACGCTTTCTCGCACTGTGTTTCCAGGGGTACCAGGACGCTCGGGACCGGATGATGCACCGGTCCACCAGCCAGGGCTCCATCAACTCCCCGGTGTACAGCCGCCACAGCTACACTCCCACCACGTCCCGCTCTCCCCAGCATTTCCACAGACCTGGTAAGGCCGCTGCTCCCAGGGTTCACTCTGTATGATAGTCTGCGTTTCTGTGTGATGCTTTCTCCCTGTCGCTGAGAGCTGGCTGCCGAATACTGACCCCTCTTCCAGAAAAAAAAAACACACACACACACACACCTCCTATTGACTATAGTTTGTGTTGCATCTTTTCTTGAAACAGAGTTATTTTGTGGTTATATTCATTATGATTTATTAAATAATTGCATTTGGACAGGGAACGACTGTAAGCAAAGGAGGGTGTTTTGGGGTTTGGTTTTGTTTTCCTTTAGTCTTGAAGAAGATCTCATCCCTTTTAGACTTTAATGAAGATCTCCAACAGAAACTATTTTGATGTACCTTTTAGGCACATCAGCCTCATCCAAGATCCAGTATTAGCCATTTGTTGGTGGGTTTATTCCTTTTCTCTTCTCCAGGCACGTGGTGTTACCGAGCATGCTTGGTTAAGCACCTCCTAGAACAAAGTATTGTATACAAGCTCAGGGTTGTATATTACTTTTATGATACATTCCAACCCTAAGATTTTGAATCAGACTTGGAAAACATTAGAGATGTATTGTGAGAGAGAATATGACGTTGTAACGCACTGCCGTTGACCTTTATCTGTGCAGAATTTGATGCCTGTTAGTGGGTGTCTCATATGGGGAGTAAAAAAGAATGGGGGATCCCAGCACAGATCCAGAATTGCCCAAGAAAGGGATTCCCAAAGGAAGACTTGGGCCTTTTGAACAAACTCGTGATTAGTGATGACATGCATCTATGAAAACTTCTGCACGTCTGATGAGGCCAAACCCCCTTATATGCTAACCTACTTGACAAAATAAACCCAAAGAAAATGAATAAAATGTAAAAGGATTGCAATCTTTTCTCAAAAGCCATAGATTCGATGCTATTAGAGGAATGAATTTTTATTATTTGATCCTTCAGTAATGTATAGTTTTTTTTCTAGACTCAATACTTTGTTGAGATACAGTCATTTTCATATTGAAGTTAATGAGAATTTTCAGGCAATGAATTCCTTTCTCTTTTCATGTACAAGTTTATTCATTTCATGTGTGCCCTGGACCTGGGTCTGGATGTAGGCCTTTGTCCATCTGGGTGGCAGGAAATCCTTTAAGCTGCCACCCTGTGTGTGGGCATGTTGCTGAGGGAGGTCACTGAGACCCCAACCAGGACCTTGTCAGAATGACACGGGGCTGCTGGGAAATTGTTCCAGAGCCCTCTGAGGGGGAGGGAGGGGTCAGTCAGGGGCAGTGCTTCCCTTCAAGGCCGTGTCCTGATTGAGCACTCAAAAGTTTTCATCTGTCCTGGTCACAGTTCTAACGTCAGTAACCTTCAGAAATTCCCCCTTCTCCGTATCCCTCCTTCTCTCCTTCACAGTGTATGACAGATACGCGATGCCAATGCTCAGGGTTTCTAAGCATTTTTTCAAGGTCTGCCCTAGTGAAGTGAAGCTGGTGTGGTCCTGATAGCACAGCTGTGGTCTGTATAGGGGTGGGGGACGTCTGGCCCGCGGACCGTGTAAGGTTCCCCAGATCATTTGGTCTGGCCCTACCAAGGCTTTAGGGGCGAGTTAATTAAATGTTTGACCAAACACCAGGCTAATCTTTAAGCTGGTAATTTTGTATGGCCCACGAACGACGTGATAAATATCCACATGGCCCTTGGTGGAGAAAAGGTTCCCCACCCCTGGTAGAGCACCTCAAGTTATCCACTCCGAAGGTCCTAGATGCCAGGCGAGGATGCAGGGCCCCTGGGCTTAGCTTTAATGTCCATCCTTCTTCTGAGAGAACAGCGCTGCCACTACCCGGTTCTCGGGATCCTAAGCAGCTCTTTGACACCCAGGGAACACAGACAGGGGTGGGGTCTTTTTCCTGCGTCAGCAAAATAAAATTAGACTTCCAGGGGGAAGATGTGCAGCTTAAAAAAGTAAAAAGAATCTGTCCCTTACACATCAGTCCTTCTTTTCAAGGTTCCTGCAATGACTGGCACTTTTTGGACATGTGCTTCCGAGGTTCTGGTTTGTCAGTTGCTTTTTAAAAACAGCTGTTTTGGGGTCTAAATGATGTGCCCGGTACTGGCTGACCCATAGCTGGTGGCATCCTAATGGTGGGGGGCGGGGCGGCGTCTTGGTGGCCGTTCCTTCTCGCTAAGGCCCTTCATTCTCAGAGAGCGCCTCTGTACCAACCTGAGTCTGGGTATCTGCACATTCTCCCCACTTGCCTAACCCTTAGCAGGAGCTTCCTTAACCCTTTTGCCTTCCTCCCTTTTCAGACTCCTGATGAATGATCTTTATCCTCCCTCTGCTCCCCCCTCTCCCCCCACGCCCCTTGGAACGATGCCTGGTCCCTGCTCCTGTGTTAATTTCTGTTCTTCTGGGTATCTGCAAATTCTCCCCACTTGCCTAACCCTTAGCAGGAGCTTCCTTAACCCTTTTGCCTTCCTCCCTTTTCAGACTCCTGATGAATGATCTTGATCCCCCTTCCCCCATACCCCACTTGCCTGGTCCCTGCTCCTGTGTTAATTTCTGTTCTTCTCTTCTGTTTCCACCTTGCCCGCCCCGCCTCCTTGCCGCCCAGAGCTGCTGTCTCCTGGTGTGCAGAGGTTGTCCTACCTGCGCACCAGCAGCCTCAGCTCCGCACACAGCGACTCCCGCCCCAACTCCCCCTTCCGACACCACTTCATCCCCCAGGTCAAAGGTAAGGAGGCAGGCTTCCAGGCAGCACCACCTGTTGGAGAGTTATTAGCACCGGGAAGGCTAATAAGGCGATCTCCAAGGGTCAGCCCGAGCTCCCCTGGCATGCCTGCCTGTGTGGCGCCTGCACCAGCCGTGCCTTAGAACTGGCATAGCACCTCCCGGTGGAGGAACATGTCACTTCTAAGGGCCCTCGGTGAGGAAACAGGAAGTTTGTTTACAACCAAAGGTTTATCTATAATATATATTACTATTTTGTTTTTCTGTACGTCAAAAGCAAAATATAATATATAGTTGGGGTATTTGCCTGGTTTTAATATTCGATGTGGCTCAGCAAAACCCAGCGGGATTCAGCAACAGATATTCAAAAGCCGTCCCAATGGTGATGAGCCGCTTAACCACTTACTGATATTAACAACATTTGGACCGTATAGAAAACATCGACGGCGAGGGAACTTAAATGTCTAGGTTTGAGCCGACCGAGTCATCTTCCGTTGGCCTGCCCTGGTGTCTGCATGAGGGAGGAGCAAGGCTTTGCCTTCTGAACTCTGTTCTTGTCCCCCATTTCTGCCCGTCCCCTTCATGGCATTCCCACTGTTTCCTTCACTGTCCTTTAAGCTTCTGTAGCAGCCCTCCCCGGGGCTCTGTTCCCCTCCACTCTGTTCCCCTCCACCGGCTGGGGAAGCCAATAGCCCCAAAGGAATAAGGCAGTAAACAAGTGTGAACTCCCACAAGGAGGCTAATTCTTTCCATAGCCTTGATTTAAACCAATGAAAGGAGCTAGAAGGGGAGGAGCAGGCAAGCACAGATGTGGTCAGGGGTCTGAGCCAGTCCTGAAGGGTTCTCACCTGGCTCCAAGTGCTCGTGTCTCTAACGCTTCTGTTGCGTAGCCTAAACGTTGTTGTATTTGGAAGATCGCTTGCAGTCTACTCAAGCTATTTCCTTTTTGCTCGCTCGGATTTTTGAGCATCTCAGTCCTAAAATACAGATGTGTTGTGCTGATCAGCATGTAGTCATTTTATGTGTGCTATGCTGGCATTTTCTGTGCCGTGAAAATAACATTGCTGACATGTTTATGGAAGACACACACTATTTGCCATTAACAAAGAGTCCCGTCTTTTTTGGTAGATGCAGCACTTTCTAAAATTCTCGACAGATTATTTAAAGTGGTCTTGGAGAGAGGGAGAAAACTTTTTTATATAGATGTAAGATGATACTTTAGACAAGTTTATAAAACCATAAGAAAGTATTGAAGAAACTTCAAAGATGTATTTTAAAGAGACTTGAATATAGAAGCCCTTGGCCAAATCAAGATTTTGTTTGTTTTTAATACATAAGGGAAAATACATTTTTAATTCATTGAGATGTAAACGGCCTCGTTTGGTTATGTTTCCTCTTTCAGAAGAGGTACTTTTCGTAGAAAGAAAAGGGCCGTGTGCCCTGTAAGGTTATACAAAGTTCATACAGAAAGCACATCACAAAGTCTCCTATACCTTCTGTCTGTGAGCAGCCTTAGGAGAGATGGATGGCCCACCCATAGGGACACTGGAGTCCTGGGTGGGGTACTCTCTCTGTCACTAGCCAGTGTGGGACCTCGGATGTTGGCTTGACTTTGTTACTCGCCTCACCTGTAAAACCTCTCCTAGGTCACTAGAGCGTGTGAGGTCAAGTGCCCCGGTGTGTGTAAGCACCGAGCTCAAGTGAGTCTTCGGTGCCCCCTCGGCATGGTGCTCTTAAAGCACTTTCCGTCTTCCTTTCGCTCTTCACAGCATCTGTGACGTAGGCCCAGAACGGAGATGGAGAGCTGCGGCCCTGGGTCGGCGACCCGGCCAAGGGCTCACAGCTGGCAAGTGGCAGCTCCAGGACCAGACCCCAGGCCTTCCCATCCCTCACTCAGATGAGGTGTGTGCATTTCAGTACAAAATAGACTTAGAGTTGAACTCTGATTATCCACCTCTTCTTAACTGGAAAATCGAATTCTTACTGAGGGTAAGACAGACAGCTACTTCAGTCATGTAAATTACAAAATTAGCAATTTTTTACTTTTTAATAGAAGTATCAACTGGTTCTAAAAATTACAGCACCTCTGTGTGTCTAAGTGGTACTGTATTTAAAAAATATGGATATACTTTCTTTTCTGTTTTTAGTCTGAATTTGAAGTTTTTGACACAAGTATTATGAATTTAAGTGATAAACAACATTAGGCTAAGAGGGGTTAGCATGACCCTGAACTTATACTTAAAAACACCTGATAATCTCCCATTTTCTTTTCACTACACATATACCTATAGCTTGTTCATATGACAGAGTCTATAGAAAATAAACTAAAAAATATAGAAAATGTAAAATATAATGTACATCACAGTATATGCTCAGTTTTAAAAGTAGATGAGCTTTTTGCCGAACTACAAAATGAACCATGGAGAATTTGTACAGTAACTAGATTGCTTTAAAAGCCTGGTATGGCTAAATGCTGATTCTCCAGAGAATTACTTCTTGGTTGTTATGAAAAAAACATGTACCCATTCACATGGAAGGCCTCTCCCACTTCTGGAAATTCCCATGTGGAGGGAACTTATGGCCATCGGAGAAGCACGTGGACAGGGTACCCCAGGAAGCTCGCGGCCCTCCATTGGAACGGTTCCTTTCCTCTTCGAGCTTGTGTTGTGGTCTCAGGGGAGTTTTGAAAACAAATATAAGCTGGAGAGCTTTCGGCCCCGGGGTAAGATGACCATCCGAGGAATGTACAGCTAGAAGGGAGGGCCCTTCCACTCTGACAGCCTGAAGCCCAGCCCCCCGGGGCCCAAGTCCACTTCCTGGTCCTTATTTCTCATGCATGTGGCCCGGGCCCCGGGGTCTGTGGAGCTGAGGGTGCCTGCACGGGTGTAAAGCTGAGATGCGCATCACAGGCTGGCTCTGTCTCAGTGGCTTCCCCGTCCACTTCCTGTAGCCTCTGTCTTGTTTCCTGTGTCTTTTGTTCTGTCTCTGACCTTCCTTGCAGCCTCATTCTGGGATGTCATTGTTGGGTCATTTGGGCAAGTGCATGCCTGGAGATTTGGAATCTTCACTCTGTTTGGGATCTGTTTGTGCTGTGCTTTCTGCGTTTCTCTTCCCTCCCTTTGAAATACTGTGAGACATTACGTTCTGTGTCCACAAAATGTATCAATCAGATGAGTGGCTCTGGCTCAGACAGGATTGGACACTCGCTGAAGGGAGCCATGACACTATTGAAGCTTTAGACAGGGACTAGCGATCTGGGAACTGTCATGAAATTCTAGATGCTGCCAACTTTCAGGAGCCAATCCAAGGATTCATGTGAAGGAACAAAATGGCTGGGAGTGCGCTATATACAATATTATGTGATAACTACACTATTACATTATTTGTCAGCAGTGCCTTCACTCTGGGCTGATAGGTGGTGATGATGACCGATACTTTCATATACGCTATTTCATCTGCTGCCTCATACATGACGTACATAATAAACTAAGCACAAAAATAACCTTTTAGTGCCTCATCAGTTATTTCCTTCCAGGATAGAGTTAAAAGTTTTATCACTTGAAGGTAGGGTATTCAACCTAGCAAAGTTGGAAACAGGCCTCATCTTGAGAATATTTCTTTTTCTTTGAAAAATGACAAAAGTTTGTCATGCCTTTGGTATTCCAAGGGTGGAGCACGTGGTACCTAGCAGCGCTTGTATGCTGAGCCCTTATTCCAATGAGCCCTCATGACGTGAGGAAATCATATGGTACAAAGTCGCTCAGATGGGCATGTTGCTGAGTCTCTCTTTACCTTGCTTTAAACTTTTGTGGGAGATTTATTTTATTTTATTTATATATTTTTATTGATTTCAGAGAGGAAGGGAGGAGAGATAGGAACATCCATGATGAGAGAGAATCATTGATTGGCTGCCTCCTGCACGCCCCCTACTGGGATCAAGCCTGCAACCCTGGCATGTGCCCTTGACCAGAATCGAACCTGGGACCCTTCAGTCTGCAGGCCAACGCTCTATCCATTGAGCCAAACCAGCTAGGACTGTTGGAGGTGTTAAATGATTATAGAGTTAAATCTACTTACAACGACTTGAACACATGAGGGCTTTTTCTAGGAACTAGAAAGGTCAATGGTTGCTGAAGATATGCAGCTAAATAAAGAACTGTGCCCAACTGGTGCCAGCGTTCGGCTGGAATGCACCCCCTGGGAGTTCAGAGAGTTGTCGGCAGCATCCGGGAAGGGATGGGCTTCTATGGCCACTTGCCAGCAGAGCACCTTCATGAAGGGAAGATGTTTCATAGTCAGGCAAATGCCAGTTCCAATAACCTTACACCCTGTGTCCTGTACATGCAGATATTTGTGGGTGCACATGACTCCGGCTAATAATTATCAAAACAAATGTAATAGTGTTTCTTGTGATTGGACATGATAGCCCACACCTGCGCAAACATTTCCCTGAAGTGGCTGATGTTGTACAAGTGCAGGGAGGCTAGAGGCAGCGGGTGCAGGGAGGAGCAGTGGGGTTCAGAAGCAATAGCACCCCCTGCGTAGGGTCTGCAGAATGAGTCTTCAAAAAACCAACCTCAAAGAAAGCGAGAAAGTTGAGTGTCTCTAGAACTTCTTTGGAGAAGAGCCCATAAGAAGTATTCTGTTTTTCAATCATGGGTCACTCTTCTGAATAATCCCTAATGTTTAGAGGAGTCAAGAATTCCCCTGAAATGAAACAGTTAAATTGGGGTTATTGAGGATCGGCTCTAATGGGAACGTTACAAAAACGGGGTGCGATTGTGATCCCATTGCTGCCTTTAATGAAGAGATAGATGGTGGCTGGGTTAGTGCAGTGGTGCTCACCACATTAGGCCATGAAGAGCTGCCGGGTTAGTTCGTTGGCCTCCTTCAATCGTTCATTCACAGACATTTACTGGGCACTCACTCTGGCCAGGCGCTGTGCTGAGCACACAGATGAATGAGACCGAGTTCTAATTCTTCCTTAGATTTAAAGTGGGATTTTCTTCTAAACATAAAGCATAGTCTCCCTCCCCTGCTTGCTTCTACCTGTGTTAATAATACTCATTTTTTTCAGACAGGAACCGGTTACTTCTTTTTAGGAGAGTGATAGTAAATGAGATAGCGTTTTTTGAAATGAGTTTTTGAATACATCGCAGTTTAGAGTGAAGAGTCATAATTTTTAGAAGCTAACATCTGACTTAAGTAGTAAAGTCTAATTATAATATATTGGGAGCTAGATGCTTAAGTGACTTGAGGAGGGGGAAAAAGACAAAAGTTTCAGAATATGATAACCAAAAACTTAGAATATTTATTTGAGCCAGTTAAATTCAGGTTTCACACCTGAAATATCGTACTGCCCATTTGGTACAGAACTGTGCTCTGGTTACCTAAAATTGCACATATTGAGAGATTAAAACTATGAAATGTGTTGTTTTGAAACTCCAGCAGTTGACATCTTTCATTTTCTGCTGGCCAGATTTAGAACAGTTTGGCCTAACTGAGGAAACTGGCTCTTGTACATCTAAAATTAGTACAATGTTATATGTCAACTATGTCTCCTTTTTTCAAAAAAATTAAAAAGATGGTAGAAAAAAATCAGCTCTTGCTATATATTTTTTAAAAATCTATGATTTATTTTAAGCTGTCATCATTAGATAAACTGATCTTCATCAAAATTTAAAACTTCTGCTTCAAAGGGCTATCAAGAAAGTAAAAGACAACCCACAGAATGGGAGACAGTTCTCCGTTCACCCCTGCAGTTCGCGTGGTCAGCAGGGAGGGCGGAGGCAGTGGTAGCTCTCAGGGCTCCTGCAGCCACGCCCAGCGTCCTCTCCACACCCCTCCCCGTTCTCCTCCAAAAACACCACGCTTTCCAGCCAGTGGCCAGTCCTGTTGCTCCCGCCCACTGTGCCCTCCCATGCCTCCTCCCTTAGGATGCTCCAGCCTTCTGAAATCTGAGCGTCCCCACCCTCTGCCCACCACCCACCTGGCGAGCATACTCTGCCGTGTCCCGCGCAATTCTCATATCTTTCTGTCGCTTTCCTGAGGAATTGATGGTGCACACCTTTCTCTGAGTGTCATAATTTTTTCATATGCCTCTGAATACTATGCAGGGTATTATATTTATGTGTCTTAAGTCTGACTCCTTAGGTCAGCGGTTCTCAACCTGTGGGTCGCGACCCCTTTGGCGGTCGAACGACCCTTTCACAGGGGTCGCCTAAGACCATCCTGCATATCAGATATTTACATTGCGATTCATAACAGTAGCAACATTACAGTTATGAAATAGCAACGAAAATAATTTTATGGTTGGGTCACAACATGAGGAATTGTATTTAAAGGGCCAGAAGGTTGAGAACCACTGCCTTAGGTGGACTCTGGGCCCCTGGAGGGCAGGGACTAAATCTCCTTCATCTACTTATCCTCACTCATAGCTCAGGGCCCAGCCATCCCAGGTGTCCAGTTATTAGAGTGGGTGGTGCCTCCTCTTCGTAGAGAAAGATGGAGAGAGGTGTACGTGGTCCCACAGTACCTGGGAGAAAGGGGCTGCCTCATCTGGTGTATTTCAAAGAGGAACAGAAACACAGGCTGCAGTGAAGGCATTTGGGTTGCTCAGAGCAAGGCCGGGGGTGACCACACAGGCTCCCGGGCGTAGCCTTCGTTCAGAGAAATGCAGTCCAGCCACCAGCCTCTGTCATCAGGCCCGGAAGGCTTGTATTTGGGTTGCCTATCCCGCTCCTTCGCACGCTTGGGATCTAACCATCTAATAATTGGTCCTGAACCATTACCCAGTGCCTTTCCATTCCTCGTACCGAACGCCCCATCCGATCAGTGCCCTGCCTGCTCACAGCTCAGCCACATGCCTTGGATGACGTGCCTCGCTGCTAGCTGCTTTACCACCGTGACCTGAACGCAAACCTCTCTTACGGGAAACTAAACCTGATCCCCCCTTTGCCAGCCACGTTGCTACACTGAGTTTGTTTCTTTCGTTCCTCCTTTTTTGATGTACCTCCTCCCCGTTGGTGGTTTTGAAGTTTTATTACGCTCGCTCGGTTTCCTTTATTGCTGTCCCTTCTCTCATTTTGTTTTCTCCATTCTTCTCATTGGAGGCAATGAGCCGTCCAGCGGCCGGAACTCCCCTCTCCCCCACCGGCCAGACAGCCGCCCTCTAACTCCAACTTACGCTCAGGCCCCTAAACATTTCCATGTTCCAGGTAGGAGCTGACGCGGTCTATGTCATGGTGTCCTGTCGCAGTGTAGAATGTAGCCTTGTCACCTCTGTCTCGTCTCCATTGCTCATGCTCTTTACATTGGGATGTACAGTTGACAAACCCTAAATTGCAGGATCTGACCCAGGGGGCCTTTCAAAAACGTTCTATGTGGAACGCCAGGATGATATTGAAGGGTTCGGTTTTCCCAAGTTATTTTTTTTTAATATGTTTTATTGATTTTTTTTACAGAGAGGAAGGGAGAGGGATAGAGATTAGAAACATCGATGAGAGAGAAACATCGATCAGCTGCCTCCTACACACCTCCTACTGGGGATGTGCCCGCAACCATGGTACATGCCCTTGACCGGAATCAAACCCGGGACTTTTCAGTCCGCAGGGCAACTCTCTATCCACTGAGCCAAACCAGTCAGGGCTTCCCAAGTTATTTTTGAAGGGGTGTGGGAGGTGGAGAGTGAAGGAATGAGGGTTTGAGTTGTGTTGTTTTTACTAAAATTTTAATTTCACCTTTATATCAGCGGCTCCTAAGATATCACGCTGTGGCTTCGTGTCATTGACTAATTAGCACAATGGCGATGCAGTGACCTTCTCGTTCTAAGGATGGAACCACAGCAACACTGAGTGCTTTTCCCTGTGTCTCCAATGTGGAGACTCTTCCCCTGGGCTTTTCTGAGCGGAGTAAAATGGTCTCTCTAAGCATATCCCTCACTAACCACCCCCGGAGCCGCAAAGGGATCTTGCAATTTAGGCGTGGTGCTGCCAGCTTCGCTCTGCAGTCACAGCACCTGCTGTCTGTCGCAGCACGAACAGTCACTGGCCACCGGAACTGGGAAAATCAGAACCCGCCGCATCGTCATGTTTAGGCTCAGCCCCGTTTGCAAAGGCAAGATTGGCCATCCCAAGTCCCGGCATCATTTTTCCGTGGGAAGCACATTGTTTTGCTTCCTTTAGTTCCCGGAAGTGGTTTAATACATGACCCATTATGTTCATGCTAGTATACATAGTTGGGATCTGAAATCGGGTTTTTTCCTTTTGCATTCCAAACTGACCTAATAAAACAGAGGAAACTTCATTGAGATTCATTCCGCTAAGCTAGGATTGCCTTTTTTAAAAGTGCCATGAACCTTGAAAATCAATGTTACGCAGTTGAGCGACCCTCCCCCCTTTTTTTTCATTAAAAATGCCCCACCAAGATGCAGTGCCCAGGGTTCTGGAGAAACAAAGCTTTTGACATTTCCTGAGTATTTGTGCTCAAAGTGAAATGACAGCATAATCAAACGGGGTCCTGTGTAAATATGTGAATAATATTTGGCATCTCAGTCTTTAAAAAAAAAAAAATTGGCCTATAGGAGTTAGGCACACATCCTGGTAGTACATCAGACTAGTTTTGCCCATACAAAGTGTTTCTGTGTTTAAAGAAATTACTCCTAGTTTTTCTACATTGCTTTCCACTGTTCCATTCATTAGTTGAGAAGGAAATTGAGCCACTGGTATCTCCTGGGAGCTCAATTTCTAGACAGTAGCATTTTGGGGATTTTCCCCAAACTGGTTATGTCTTCCTCACCGTAGAGTATTCCACTGCTTGCATTTCTTCCTGTTTTAGTCCCACTTTTAGTGAAATGTGTATTGGAAATAAAGGGCCCATGAATTAATGACATCTCTATATATGCTAAGATGTATTACAAAGGATTTCACATCACTTGGTGTAGTGATTCGCTCATTCCTGTAATTTCTGCTTCCAGTAACACCGCTCTTTGTAATACAAAAGTTGACCATCTGGGTTATATTTGTTCAATAGTCTTCAGTTTGGTTTGCCTCTTGCTTGTTCTGTTTTTCCCATCGCGGAACTGGTTCCCATAATCACACACCTTTGCTTTTCATTTCCACAGATCAAGGGATCAACATTTACCGAAAACCACCCATCTACAAACAGCATGGTAAAACCCGCTTCCTCCGCGTTAGCTTTTAAGTAGCAGCGTCTGCTGAACTTCTCTTTGCTGTCCTCTGAAAGGCTTATCAGCTGCTGCTTTCGAAAATCAAACCGGGGTGCCCAGCGAATTGTGCCTTGATGTCCTCCTGAGATGCAAACATTGTGAAATTGGGGTTTCTAGAGGGAGGAGGCTTAGCATGGTCAGGAAGCTCCTAGCTCATTTCTGAGCCCATCTAACCACGAATCGTGCCATTCATTGAGAAGGGGTAGGACTAGCCACACAATGTGGTCAGGAAGCTCCTAGCTCAGTGGTCGGCAAACTCATTAGTCAACAGAGCCAAATATCAACAGTACAACGATAGAAATTTCTTTTGAGAGCCAAATTTTTTAAACTTAAACTATATAGGTAGGTACATTGTTATTAACTTAATTAGGGTACTCCTAAGGCTTAGGAAGAGCCACACTCAAGGGGCCAAAGAGCCGCATGTGGCTCGCGAGCCGCAGTTTGCCGACCACTGTCCTAGCTCATTTCTGAGCCCATCTAACCACGTATCATGCCATTCATTGAGAAGGGGTAGGACTAGCCACACAATAACTCACAAACACCCTAGCAAGACATGTTTGTTTTTTCTCTGCCATTTAATAATTTAACCAGCCTCTATAACTATTTTGATCAGCTTACAATTTAACTAATTAAAACTAGTGAAAGCCAGCATTCCGGAAAAATTAATTTGACGAAGCCCTATCAGCTTGGCTGTCCAGTTCCCCAGTGTCTTCTGTAGCATGAAGACATCTGTGCCCAGTGATGGAGTGGATGGGACACACGCTGACTCGGAGTCCTGGCCCTCGTCCCCGCTCCTCACCTCAATGGCTCTGTGATTTAGGATGTCATGGACACAATTCCTCTGTCCCTCCGTTTTCTCAAATCTGTGAGTTAGGCTAATTGGTCTGTGAAATGCCTGCAAGCCAAGAATCACTGCTGTGGATTTAGAGTGGTGCTTTCCTTGTCTGGGAGTATGGAATTTTGAAGCCCAGGAAACCACCTCACTATGTGTAAATCACACACACACACACACACACACACACACACACACACACAATTAGGTCTCTCAATATTTATCTGCCACCAATCTTGGTGAATGGATTCTTCTAAAGCCAAGATAGGTCTTTAAGTGATTTCAGAAAATTATACACAAATTGTGCCCGGAAATTTGAAGGCTGCCTTTAAAAGGTAGTTGACATTAATGAGTCCTTAAGGATTAGGATGACATGAAAAGCAAACAAAGTCAAAAAAGCACAGGGGAACATATTTAGGCCAACATTCTCGGGGGGGAAGAGAATGTATGTATTGTAATGTTTGTGGAATTATGACTTTCTTCTTCATTCTGTTTTTTTTTTTTATTTAAGATTTTACACCACATGCTTGCTTTTTTAAGTTTGTTAACATTGTTTTTGTTTTTGTTTTTTTTATGGTTTAATGTCTTGTCACCCACTCATTAACATATGAATGTTTACTGACTTCACCAATTCTAATGAGTAAGTACTGTTCGAAGTCACACTTTTTTTTTTTTTTTTCCAAATTTAAGAATAAGATTCTCAGTTAGATTGATCCATTTAGAGTCTTTTGAAATACTGGAATCTTTAGGCCCTGCCGCTCTAAACAAAAATAATCAAATGACTAAGACTAAAGATGGAATAATGTTAGATGATTTATTTGGAAGGGATTAATTGGCTTCTTCTCTTGAAATTCACTTTGACTTTCCTCTTTTCCTTCAGACCGTTGTAATTAATTAATTAATCAATTAGAGTAGTGCAACCAAAGCAGCACGTCCCAAAGGACATTCTGCAGAACAGGCAGTCCATGCAGTAGAAACAGGTCCTACCGAACCCTGGTGTCCGCCCTGGTGCATTTGGAAAATGCTAGGTTCAGAGGAAGGCACGCTTTTTTTTTTTTTTTTGTAATACAGAACTCAGCCTTTACTGCGCTAACACATTCTGTTCTTCTTTAAGAAGAGGGTATTTATGCAGTGCTTTCCAGCCTGAATTTTTTTTTTTCTCATGAGGTTAATGATTCAGAGAAACACTCTTCCAAGCCTGGCCAGGCCTTGTTCCTTATTATTGCAAAGGACGACCTTGGTCAAGTCACTTAAGCAAATTGAGACCTAGAAGTTTTCAATAAGAATGAGGACTGGGAGCTGAAGATTCAAAGAATTGTATCCAGATTCAACAAGCTGTGAGCCCTGGGAGAGAGGACGTTTTACTTAAAGCAACATAAATATTTTGAAATGTTTAGTAACATCCCAGGTCACTTGGCAGAAGTAGGACCTGAGCATTTCTCCCCTCTTGCTGGGCTCCATCTCTGATTAGATTGGGGGCTCTAAGCCTCCGATGCTTCCTCTAAGCAGAGCCATTAAGAGCCCTGCGCGGGCCTGGTGCTGCCAGTCTGGCCCCTGTGTTTTAAAGTTGGATGATTCACTAGTGTGTGCAGACCCTTTCTCCTGGGACTCAAGGACCCATGTACAAGGGCCCCCAAAACAATGGATATACACCTTCACAGCTGATAGCTCAATTTTGAAAGTTATACTGCCTTTATCATTATTTGAATACATTTGGGGGGGGGGACACCCTATATAGTATAGAAGTATTACAATGAACTGGAGCAGTATATTTGTGGCTAAGAAGCCAAAAGACAGCCAGCCCGCTTATGATTAACAACTGCAGTCAAATGACAGTATCGTGCTTTTAACTCAGCTCTTTAATTTCAAGTGACTAATTCAGATGTCTAATTGCTCTAGGAGTTTGTCCCAATAGAAATTTCTGGATGCTGGGAATGTTCTATAACTGTTGTCCAATACAATAGGCAGTAATCACATGTGGCTATTGAGCACTTAAAATGTGCAACTGAGGAACTGAATTTTAGTTTAAAAATTTTTTTCATTGAATTTTTTTTTTTTAAGCCTCACCCGAGGATATTTTTCTATTGATTTTTAGACAGAGTGGAAGAGACAGGGAAAGACAGAGAGAAATATCAATGTGAGAGAAGCACATCGATTGGTTGCCTCCTGCACGAGCCCCAACCAGGGCACAGGCCGGGGAGGAGCCTGCAACCGAGGTACGGGCCCTTGACTGGAATCGAAGCCAGGACCCTTTGGTCCACAGGCCGACGCTCTATCCACTGAGCCAAACCGGCTAGGGCTAAGTTCATTAATTTAATGTAAATTGCCACGTTGCTAGTATTGGATAGCAGGCTCCAGAGCAGATGTAGAACAGGTGTAAAATGAAGCTTTGTTTCTGGTGGAGCGTCCGACGAGCTGAGCTGTCCCTGGGCACCACTGACCGGGTGGTGGATTGATAATGGCTATAAGCAGAGCTGTCTGGAGGGGAAACCTTTGCCAGAGAACAAGACCCTGTGAGTGGGCTGACCACCACGGCCTTGCAGACCGGTAGCTAAGCTCCCCCTGATTCCGCCTAGATGCAGCTGCCTTGGCAGCCCAGAGCAAGTCTGCAGAAGACATCATCAAGTTTTCCAAGTTCCCAGCAGCGCAGGCGCCAGACCCCAGCGAGATCCCAAAGATTGAGACGGACCATTGGCCTGGTCCCCCCTCACTTGCCGCCGTAGGTATGCGACTGTTACAGCTAAGCCAAATGGACAGGTTGCTAGGAGATCTCGAAGTGCAATGCTTAAAGATATGCCAGGTTTTTAAGAAAAGTACGACCAAGGAGAGGTAGAATAGTGGGAAGAACTAATGCAGTATTAATGTGTGTGCAGAATGCTTCCAAGCTACCAACACCCCATCACCAGAGCCTTGCTCTAACCAAATCACCAAGATGCAGAACTGGTCTAAAACGGATGATGTGCACGGACCCTCAGAGTCATTACCGCTAAGTCGGTAACTCTTTTGAATGCTCAATTGAATCAAAGCCTTTTGGCAAGAACATTGTTCTATATAATTAGAAGTCAGCTGGTGAATTAACCGAGGGTCCATGGAAGCATGGCTTCTTTCAAATTTGTTTTAGACTATTTCTGCTTGTAATTGCAGTTCTCTTAACAGCTAATCTTAACCCTGAGCACTTTCACTTTCCTTACGAGATCTTGTTCTCCATTTCTAAGGAGGGCTACTACAGAGTTACACATAATGAAATTACACGTGTAAAGTTACGTGATTTTACATCCTTCATGTCCATGATTCTGTGCTCCGGTATCACATTTCAGCTGCTTCATTCTTTGCTTTGAACCTCAAATGTATGCTCTAGAATTGTGTCTATGTCTTTCTTTACTGTTTTGTCAGTAGTGAAATCACTTGGCCTAAAAAGTGATATTAAGCAAACTCAGACGCTAATACTAAAAGTTTAGTGAGTTGGACTTACAAATGTGACTATCTTATCACATTTCTGTTGACAACCTAAAAGGCCTTCAATTTTCCAAAATTTCCAAATTGTTTTCCTCATGCTATTTTTTATCAATTTACTTTTGGAATAACTTTTACAAGCACTATACTATGTAGATTTTAAAGCAATTTATATGTATAGAAATAGTCGAAGGAAACCCATCTTGGGTTCATCACTCACAAGTATTCTCTACATGATGTTGCCTTGAGATATAGCTTGATTCTTGCAAACTTGTGTTTATTCATTTTTATCAATATAAAGAGAGAGTACTCACCTTGACTTTTATGATTTTAGGAACTAAGAGCCAATCATATCAGTTTTTCTCTGCCAGGCAGTTCGTGGGGACCTTGAGGTTCCCAGTTCAGTCACGTTGCTTTGTGGAGTTTCTACCGAAGCCAGACCCAAAGGGGCCAGGAGAATTAACATTTTGTTGTTGAAACTGACATGCCTAAATAGTTTAAACCTCTTTGGGGTTCCAAAATGAAGGCAATTTCTGGCCCATTAATCAAAATAAGAAAAACTGAGACGATTAAGGTTTGTTTTGATTAGATTAGCAAGCTTTCCTGTTTCCTCCACAGTCAGATTAATCCAAGCAATTTAGGAAAAACACTCATTATCTTAATTTTCCAACCATTTAGACAGATTCTTCCTTTCCACCCTCTGTCTCCCTTTACCAGGAAGCTTAAAAATTGTACACGACTTGCTATACTGTACCAAAGTAAGTAGCTTTTTAGCTCTATTGCTGTATGAGAGTTTTTATTGAATTTTGATCAGTAGAAAGCTTTTTTATAATCATTGTTCAAAGGGCTGAGAAAAAGGAAGCATTAGAGACCCATCCCTACATAAAAAGCATACTTGTTATTGAGTTTATTAAGGGTAGAAGACAGAGTGATATTATTATGGCAACCTATCTATTCAGCAGAAGAGGAAACTATAAGATTTTAAACCTTGTCATAAACGAGTGGCTATTTAAAAGCATGTGGATGAATTTAGATGTTTCTCTATTTGAAAATTGACCTCAGGGACATTGAAATAAGTGTAGATGCTCCTCCTACTTACTACTGAGAGCTCTAACCAGGGAGGACTCAGACCCCATCGCAGTGGCAAACCCGAGCTTTAATTGAGCAGACCAATTATCGGGAGGCCAAATCCAGGCTTCACCGGATCCCACATTCAACCCGCTTGTCAAACTGACCCGTTGTCTGGAGAAAGCAGCCAAGTAGCGCTGAGCTGGCGGTAGGCTCCTTTTTCTCCTGGTGCTGTTCACTCATGGTCAAGACCACTGCCGACCGTGGCGGCCTGGCCAGTTGAGCCCAGGTGGACTAGTCCCGTCCGATGCCCCTGCCGTGCGGCTAATGTGAGAAGTTGTCTTTGCTGTGGAATTAGGAGCTGACATGAGACGCAGATCCAGTGGCAGAGAGGAAGACGATGAGGAACTCCTGAGACGCCGGCAGCTTCAGGAAGAGCAATTAATGAAGGTTGGTCCTTAAACTACTTCGCTGCAGTCTTCAATTCAGTTCTCTCCCGTCCGTATTTCTGGAGTGACTACTATGGGCAAGCCACCAAGTGGGCCCAGCCCTCAAGGGGGCTTCTAGTGATTGTCATACAACAGAGTACTGAGTGGGTGCTGGAAGAGGTGACCTGAAGGCTGGAGGTCAGAGGGCCGTGTGATGGTGTGGGCTTTTGCAAGGAGAGTGAGAACCTGAGCGGGCATGTGAGTGTGGTACCTGTGTTGAAAGGATGCTGAAGGGCCCAGTAGAGCCAAGGTGTACACCAGGTTGTTCAACACCTTCCTGCCCTCGTGCAGGCTCTCCTGAAGGAATTCCCTTGGGATTGAGCCTTTCTCCAAGTCTTTCCTCGGGACTCATGGGACCTTGTGTGTATATCTGGGCCAGGGGAGAGGGGATGAAATAGACTGCCTCTAAGAAGCCCTCGTGGGCTTCTCTCTCACATGGGCCTACAGCATCCAGAAGACCAATAGAAAGGCAATTTTAGCCTGGGGTAGAGGGGCCAGGGCATTATAAACTCTCCCTCCAATGAGGAACTGATGAATCCCTTCCAATGACATTTTCCAAAGATGCTTAATCACATGGGCAATGCACATGATACAAGTTATATGAAAAGATAGGATGCAGAGTTGCATTTATAGTATGATCCCAGTTTTGTATTACATGTGCCTAAAATGTACTGGATGGATATAAACCAAAATGCAAATGGGTGTCTCTGGGTGGTGGGTTATGGGTTACTCTTCTCTGGGTTTTCTAAAATGAGCAAGTCTTACTTTTTTTTCTTGTTTTTAAACAAATCAGTGTCGTTTCTTTTTAAAGGCTACTATTCCCAATGCCCCCTTCCTACATCAAAAATCCACACACACTCACACATGCCTGCTGAGGTCACCTGCTGGCACTTTGCGGGAGAGCGAGGGAGGGAGAACACCCTTCTGACATGGAGCCTGACAGGGAAATGCCAGCCTTGACATTGAAGAGGCTGAGGACTCAAGGTCCAAAACCTGTCTGAGCTCCAGAGGCACCACCAGCCTCTGAGACTATCCATCCAGGCTTTGCCCGAGTCGGCACTTCTCACAGGACCTTCTAAAAAAGAAATTTTTCATGGAAGTAATTGTGGGCTTCCCTTCCATTTTTCTTTTCTTTGTCAATAGCTCAACTCAGGCCTGGGGCAGCTGATCCTGAAGGAAGAGATGGAGAGGGAGAGGGAGAGCCGGGAGAGGGCAGCCCTGTCAGCCAGTCGCTATGATTCTCCCATCAACTCAGGTGAGAGCAGACCCACCACCTCCCCCGAGCCGACAGCCGGCCACCTGCCTGCAAGGGCCCGGCCTTGACCTTCCGGGAGAAGCAGGGACATTTCTGGTGGAACCCGCAGAGTGTTCTCCGGGGAGGGAAGTGTGGGAAACCCACTCCATGTCAGCGTAGCTTCTAGGCATGTCATGGCTCTTCCTTAAATGTGGGTTTCCTTTCTGCTGCAAGTGGGGAGCCCTTAGAGGAAGGACCTTAAGGACACAAGGGTTCAGGTTAGAATAGTCATGAAGAGGGAGGCAGCGTAAAGGGAATCCATAGAGAGAACAGGATGCTTTTTTATGGCAGAGAGCACAAACTAGACTTTCTAAATGTTGTAATTTTACATTAATGTGTTCAATACAAAGCTGAAGACTCGTGGTATTATGTTTGACACTTTTGAAAGACATTACTTATATATTGGCTATATCAGGATAGTTTCCCCTGCTTATATTTGTCAAAAGCCAATTCTCTCTTAACCCACAAGATTTTTCCTCCCATGTTCTGAACTAGTGCCTGCTTTTCTCCCCTTCTGGTTCCTTTAGAAATGTGTTTAGTGTTTGCTGTCTGCAGGCATTTTTGCTAAACATTATCTCACTTAATCTTCATGATGTGCTAGTGAAGTAGGTAATATTATTATTATCCCAAATTTGTAGCTCAGGAATAGGAAGTTTGAGTAACTTACCCAAGGTCACACCACTAATAACTAGGAAGACCCAGATTTAGGAGTCCAGGTATCATAACCCCAGAGCCCACGACCTCAACGGGGCGCCCTGCCACCTCTCAGATGCTCACCTGGCATTGACCTTGGATTGGGTGGTTACTAATCTTCAGAGTCCCAATCAACTCCACGATTATGTTCTGTAAGAACATATCGCACTATACCCACGTGGGTCAGAAAATGAAGACTTAAAAAGATGAAGTACTTGCCCAGAGATACAGAGGCATTAAGTTGCAGACCCAGATTCAGGCCCAGGTCTGCCTTCCCCAAAGCCCAACCGTTTGTGAAGCATCCATCCCAGGCCTCCCGGGAGTCCAGTCTGACTGATAACTTACATGGCTGACTTTTGGGTCAGTGTTTGCCGCCATATCACCTGAGGCATGGGCTTATGCATCCAGAGAGTCCTGGGTTCAAATCGTTGCTCGGCTGTTTACAAGCTGAGTGACCTTGGGCAAGATACTTAACTTTTTTCGGCCCCTATTTCTCCTCCTGCAAAATGGAAATAGTAACAAAGTAGTTAGACTCAGAGGTAAAGAATCCCCACCCCATCTCCGTAATATCACCCCCCACCCATTCCCTGCATCACCTAATAGGCTGGTGTTTTATAAACATTTCAGCCCAATATTATTTGGATTATTTTTTTCTAAATCTTCTATTCTGCAAGGTAGAAGATACGATGCCAATTTCATTGAAGAATGGGACTTCCTGTTTCCTAACAGTTGCTTTTTTACCTCTTTCTCGCTTAGCTTCACACGTTCTGTCATCTAAAACCTCGTCTCTCCCAGGCTATGGAAGAAACGGGCTTCACCGGGTAAGGTTTCCCCATCAATCACTTCTGAGTCAGTCGTGGTCGAAGTGCTGACGTATCGCCGGAATACTACTGACGCGGTGATCTCGGCGTTAGCACATAATGAAAATTGTAATCTCCCTGATCTCCTAATAAATCACTTCGAATTACGGGCAAAATATTTCTATTGAAAGAAAGGGAAATTGACATTGGATAACGGAATAGCTTGTGTAAGTTTATGGGAAGACTAGGTTAAGTAATAGGGTGGCAAATATTTCTGCAATCAAGCAAAACAATTATTAGAGCCTTTATCTCTGCTGTAAAAAATATATATATAGGAAAGCCCAGCTGGGGTGGCTCAGGAAGTCAACAGTTCAATTCCTGGTCAGGGCACATGCCCAGGTTGTAGGCTTGATCCCCAGTAGGGGGCATGCAGGAGGAGCCGATCGATGAGTCTCTCTCATCAATCTCTATATCTCTCTATTCCTCTCCCTTCCCCTCTCTAAAATCAATAAAAAACATATTTTTAAAAAATATATATAGGAAAGTTTTTTGCTACCTCCCTCCCCACAACACATGGAATAAATGTAATTGTCTAACTGTGTAGAGAGACGTTTTATTATGTATTAGCAAGAGGTATTTGCTTACCAAGGACCTGCTGAGTAGCGGCATTGATTGTACTACCAAAAATAAAGAGATCTCACGAAAGTAGAAGAAGTAGAAGGAAAATCGTGAGGGCCTAGGAATTCAGTTTGGGAAGAATTCTTAGGTTTTGCAAATCGTTCCTTTTCACCTGACTCCCAAACGATCACTGTGCAGTCGGTTTTCTAATACTGTGTTTTTTCTCATTTCAGCCTGTTTCTACAGACTTTGCTCAGTACAACAGCTACGGGGACGTCAGCGGGGGAGCGCGAGGTGAGGGTGCTGTGGCCACACTGGACTGACCATGGCTGAGGTCAAGCACAGGCTGTGCAATGACAAGCACATTAGCTGGGTTCATGCTGCCTTACGTTCTGAAGTGGGATCCCACCCACCCTCTGCGAGCTAGCAGAGCATTTGTTAACATTTCAAAGGATCTCTAGTGACATGAGACCAGGAGAAGTGAATTTGTAAGAAGCAAGTTTGTAATCGCTTCTGCTGAGCACTCAGACCCTTGGAGATACAGTGATGGATGGGCCTACCTTCCAAATGCATACAGCTGAGCCTGGCTGGTGTGGCTCAGTGGGTTGAGCATCATCCCATGCACCAAGAGGTCACGGGTTCAATTTCCGTTCAGGGCACATGCCCAGATTGCAGGCTCAATTCCCAGGAGTGGGTGTGCAGGAGGCAGCCGATTGATGTTTCCCTCTCGATGTTTCTATCTCTCTCTCCCTCTCCCTCTCTCTCTAAAAAAATCAATGAAAAGAAAAATCAATGAAAACATTAAAAAAAATGCATACAGCTAAGAGAGTGAGAGAGAAGCTCTGTATGATAAATGCTATGATTGGAGATGCAGAGAGAAGGCAGAAACACCTTCATGGTGCCAGGGAAAACTTCTGCAAGAAAAGGGTGTTTAACTGATAACTGGAACCTGAGCAGGCATTTCCTGGCTTCAGGGGGGCAGACAGACGGGCACTGTGTACCGTTCAGAATGCCAGAGCAGGGAGCGAATGGGGTCATTGGGGAAAGTTTGGGCAGTTGCAACAGGACACAGTCTCTGTATTAATGTTTCCGTGTTTCCCTGCTGACAGTTCCTTTCTCTTCTCTTTGCAGACTACCAGGTACGGAACACTGTCCCTCTTGAGTTGGCCACGCCAGCAGAACAGCCATGTTTCAATCCAGATGTGTGCTGCTGCTCCAGGGAAGGGTTTCTGTTGAGAGATGCTGATTTGGGTTGATCTGTGGAATCGTTAGTCCACAGCTGTGAGAAGCCAGGGGAGCAGGCATGCCTGTGCACAGGTCCACTGTCCCCGCAGGCGGGGGCCATGGCAGGAGCCAGGCCAGTGTTGGAGCACCGTCTTGTTATGGCCTTGAAGAGTCCTCTCTTGGGGGGATGTGGCTCAGCATCAGGGTCCGCCCATGTACAGTGTATTTTCCTTTTTTAAAAAAAATCTTCATTGTGGATATTTTCCATTGATTTTAGAAAGACAGGAGAGGAGAGGGAAGGAAAGGGGGGAGAGAGAGAGAGAGAGAGAGAGAGAGACAGAGACATACATCACCAATTGCCTCCTGACCGAGGATCGAACCCCCATCTATGCAGGTGGTCTGATTGGGAATCAGATCGATGACCTTTTTGGTATATGGCCAAAAGAAAAGAGATGTTTGGTACCATTCCTTTTTTCCTACCACCTAAACCTCAAAAATTATGACAGAGAATGAGAAAAGGAAAAATATGCAAAGAAACATAAGATAAAATAAGGAATCAACAATCATAAACTTCGTAAATCTTTTTTATATCCCATATACTTTCATGCTTGGAGCCTAAATTCAGGGACTAGTCACTACATTTCAGCCAGGCTATTTCCCCAGCTTGATTAGAAAAGAGCAGTGTTCCTGCTCTTGGGAAGCAAGGATCTCATTTTGGAAAGCCTGTAGTGATTAAGGTGCCCGTATGATTAAGACGGCATCTCTCAAACGGTGACGAGGATTTGAGACCCAATCAGGAGGATTCGGGAGCCCACAGAGGCCTCCAGCTTCCTACGCAGCCAAGGGCTCCTCCTTGACCCAGCTTCTCTGTTGCAGACCCTGCCGGATGGCCACCTGCCTGGCATGAGAATGGACCGCGGAGTGTCTATGCCCAACATGCTGGAGCCAAAGGCAAGTGCGGCTGTTCCCTTCCCTCCCCCACGGGGATGCCTAGCCGGGAGGTAATCCTAGAAGACACTTGCTTTTCTGCCTTTTCCCCATCCTCCGTGCCGAGGCCTGCTGGGCTCTAGGCTGGTGCCCTAGGCAAGCCATGTCCCAAAGCACCTTGCCATCCTCGGCTCGTTCGTCACCCGAGTCAGCAGCCTTGCTGCGTGTGCCGCCGCGGGCTCACAGGAAGTGCCAGCGGGTCTCCTGGGACCTCGGTACTCATGTGGCCCCTGCCATGAACCCACAAGGCACGCCCAGTGCTGAGGGAAGCCTCGGCAGGCTGCTCCAGGTGGGATGACCAGTATGTCCCAGTTTGCCCAGGACTTTCCCAGTTTTTGCACTGAAAGTCTTGCCTCCCAGGACCCTCCTTGGTCCCGGGCAAACTGGGACAGTTGGGACAGTTGGTTGCCCTGGATCCAGCGGTGTCCAAGGGCCATGCTCCCTGGGGACCCTGGGCACTCGGCTCAGTGTGTCATCCGCCAGAACACTGCTCTGGGTCAGCCTGGCTCCGTGGATTCTCGAGCCAGTTTTAGAAGAAGATCGTTAAAGAATATACAAAGGCATCCAGTTCTCTTCGATGTTTAACTTCATCCCCAGGACATGGCAAATGTGTCTTCTTTCCCACAACAGAACCCCCCAAAGGCACAGGCTACAGGGGGCCCCGGGGGGCTGTGGGGCACCTGTGAGAACCTGGCACCTCCGATGTCCTCATCATAATCTTAGGAGCTCTGTCAGGGAGTCCTAGAGCTTCGGTCGATTCTGTTTGCTAATAAAATGATCCGAGGTGTTCTAGAAGAGATGTTTGTCTTCACTTCTCAGATATTCCCATATGAAATGCTCATGGTGACCAACAGAGGGCGCAACAAAATCCTGCGAGATGTGGACAGAACAAGGCTGGAGGTAAATAAATAAAAATCTAGTCCTAATTGCAGCTCCCTGGGCATTCCCTCCAACTTTCCCCTAATTGGGAAATGTTTCTGTAAAGGCAAAAAAAAATTAAAGGACCAATCTCATAATGTAGGTAGAATTAGTAACACCTTTGGAGAAAAGCCCACATTTATACTGAAAAGATCAGTATTAAATACCGCCCCCCCTCACTCCCCAGGAAAACCCAGTATGATTTTAGTCCTTTTCTCTGGAAACTTGGTGTTGCCATAATTATGGCTGGTGGCGTAGAGTGGACTCTCCATCCCTCTCCCGATGGCCCCGGCTCCCTCCTTCCCCAGCCTCGGTTGAGCTCATGGAGAGGGGAGGGAACGCTCAACAAAGAGGTTTGTATGAGCAGGTTCCCAGCTGCTTCCGCATTCCTTGCTGAGGGTTATCTGGGTACACATACCCAAGACCTCCTTAGACACGGAGACTGATCTTTGTATTTTTCCATCTGAATGATTTTAATTAAGAAAAGCCCTGGCTGCCAGCCTCGTAAAGAATGGCTCCTTTTCCCCGACAAAAGGCTGCACCTTTGTACACAAGGTCAGCCTGGCACAGAGACTCAAGGCTCTTGTATCCTAAGAGCATGTCTGGGGGGACAACAGGTGGAAGTTCTCTGTAGTAGGCCAGGCATCCATCCACCTCAACACTGGCTGAGCCAGGAGGAAGCCTGGGCTCCCCACGCCCACTTTGCAAGTCTCTCTCTGGCTTTCTTATTGCTGTGGTCCATTTTCTCTGTATCTCCTCACCATCCCGAGGACCTGAAGTAGAGTCCCCTCCAGCATAATAAATCAGCTTCCTAGTCCATCACCATTCAGTGCTGTTATAATAATCGTTAGTGCCGCGCCAGCCCTTTTGTCTGGAGGGCAGGGCGCCTCACCTGGCCACCCAGGTAAGGAAGAACTAGGTGCGGTGCCTGCTAACCGGCCTCAGAGGTGTGCTCCTCTCCCATCATTCTGCCTTGCTCTTCAAGACGATTCCTTGTAAACTGGAGAGCAGCTCCCACGGCCGGCCGCCAGTGTGGGCATCAGGGCTGACCACCGTCTGTTCTCCCTCCACAGCGCCACCTAGCGCCAGAAGTGTTTCGGGAAATCTTCGGAATGTCCATACAGGAGTTTGACAAGTTACCTCTTTGGAGACGCAACGACATGAAGAAAAGAGCAAAACTCTTCTAAGTCCCACGCAAGACTCTTCTAAAGTCCCACATGTAGACAAGCAATTAGAAAGAGGACGGCCGATGGCGGTGACGCATAGGATGTGGTATTAAGCTTTGAACTGGACTGGAGAATTTGCAAACTACTGCCCCTCAGCAACTACCAAAAGGGGGAAATCTGATTAAAACACCCACGAGCCAAATCCTGGGCCGACCAACGGCAACACTTGCCAAGAAGCCATGGGGTAGAGATCTCTATGTTCCCACACCCGACAGCAGCGTTCACATGTGACCTTTCACCTCACCTTGTGCACACAGCAGGGCCCCTTCCCTGGTCTCCCTTTCACTGTTGTCCGACCATAGTGCTCACTGTCTGGGTAAGAGCCAGCAAGTGCCCTTAGGATGCCGCACGGAGCAAGCAGCTGTCGTCATGCCCAGTCTGCGTATGTTTATGATGTAGCATGTGGCTAAGGAGCAAAAGCCTGGGGGGCGTGTCCACGTGGTAGCAGCCGTTTGCACACCCCTTCGCCCCAGCCTCCAGCAGCTCTGCTCCTGTGGGGTGGAACCCTGAGTGGGAACCCAGTGGCTACTTGAGTGGGCTGAGTAGCAGCCGGAGCCATTTTTAACAAGCTCCTTATTCTCCACTGTCATCCAGGCCCTGGTTTGCAAATTACTCAGCTTTTTCTTTTCTTTTTCTTAATTTTAAGGGAAAAGGAAGGACAGGAAAAGCTCCATCACTTGTTTTCTGCTTCAGATAGTGTGATTCATGCGGGTCCCCCGTTGGCAAAGAAAGGAAAGGGAAAAATCGCCTCTAGATTGGCACAGGTGCATGCTGTTCGGTGATTCTTGCCCAGGGAACATAACACTCTTGGGAAAAAAAACAAAAGTCCTGTGCCCTCCCGGTGCCAGTTCCCACCCTCCGCTCTGCATCTGGCATCCGCTGGATTGAATCTCGCCCTCGCTGGTTCTGGTTGTTTCCTAGGTCTTCCCAGTAGTCGGCTAAGGAAAGGCATGGTTTTCTGTTTGAAGTCTCTGCAACTCCAAGGTCGATGGCCTGACACTGATTTCCCGTGGCCTTTTAGCTCTTCTCCTTGCTCGGCACTGTTGACCCCATGTGTGTGCACACGCACCCTCACGCACTGGGCCTTCTAACTTATTTTACAAACGGCTCTGCCGGGGTGGACCTGCGCAGGTCTGTTCCGTGGTCTGGAGCCAGACTGCAGTGTGCGGTCTTGCCCCTTCGTTTATATCAGTTGCCTCTTGCTTTGTTCGCTATTCCTGCTGCCCCCTCTTCTCTCCGCCCTCGCCTGCCATTGGCAGCCTGTGTGTCCTAGTCCTGGCTTTGCTCTGGCAAAGTGTGGGGGCGGGGACCACAGTGTATTCCAGGCATTTCCCTGCCACCATCAATAACAAGGCTCCCAGCGCTGGGCGGGTGGAGAGAGTGTTTGTCATTGTGGGGTCGACAAAGGACCCTCCGTGTTTTCATCGGTTAATGAGTGTCGCCCCGTGCACAGGCAGATCAAATATCCACGGAAGAGAAGCCGCGGTGACAGTTAAAGAGCTGAGCCCAGGACCTGTTCCCACTCACTCAGCGTTGCTTTTCTTGTCTCTTTGGAATTTGGTTCTGCGTCCGCCTTGGGAGACAGCAGTGCTTCTTTCCATGTCCAGTGTGTGAGCAGATGTAAACTGCGCCAGGTAGATAGGCATCGCCCCCAAATGCAGCAGCCTCCTGTTCGCAAGCAGAGCCGTGCCGTGCTCTGGAGAGAGCCGGCATCGAACCCTAACGCAGAGCGGGCTCCCCAGCTCCCCTCCCCGCAGAAGGCTCCGGCCGGAGGGCTGGCCGATAGGCAGCCTGCTTCTCCTGACTGCCAACCCCGGTGAAGGGCTCCCACGCACCATCCGCTGTGTGAAACGGGTCTGTGTTCTCTGCCTGAACCCGCCCCGCACTGCACATACACGTCCCCGGTTAACACAGTCACACGAGCAGGGATTGCTCGCTTCGGGGGTAACACAAGGGCTACGTCTTTGCGCGTTGGGCTTCCTTACGATTCTTTCAGCGCTGAGCATGTGGGGGAAAGAGGCCTCGATGGCGCCGGGAACGGCAGTGCTTCCTTTAAAGATTCTTCCAGAAAAGCCAGGCTGCCAAGCATGCCCCGTGTGATGCACGATGAGGCGTAAAGGGTTGGCTACCCTGCACCGCCAGCTCTGCTCTGCGTTGTGGTTGGGTTAGTGATGAGATGTTCGGGATGCAGCTCCTTGCATGACTGAGGAGAAACGGCCGTTCTCTGTCTGCAACCTGGGACGGAGGAGGGCGTTACGGCCAATAAGATGCAAAAACAAAAGAAACCGTGTTTCTCTGTTCTGCCCTCTGGCCGCTCTGCCCGCTCCACGTTCTGCGGTTTCCCAGCTGAGCCGAGCAGCAGCGCTTTGCAGCCCTCACCCTCGCAGTCACATTATGTCCATCAACTCCACTCAGAGACGTTCTTGGCTGGACACGTTTATAAAGCCGTCACCTAATTTCTTTATACTTGGAAGCAAACACCTTTTTCTAAAGAATTGCTTCTCAGATGATTATATAAAATATACATGCTTTTGCTAGTTTACAAAATTCAAATTCACTTTGGACTAAATAGGTCTTTCTAAAAACTCTTTTACGCAAACTTGGTGTTAGCAGCCCTCCTGTGTGCTGAAGGGGCAGGGGACACCCCCCCCCCCCCCCCCCCCCCTTTGGGCCCACAGGGCTTTCTCTCTGACATCATGAATGAGGGTGGGAGGACCTGACCTCTGTCCCCAGCCCTCTGTCCTCTGAGGCAGGCCCCGTTTTTACAAATCACTCTTTTGTATTTCTGGCCGCTGTTTGATCAGTACTTCCTAAGCCAGCCTGGATTTCAGCTGCTTTTTAAAATTATTTTCCTTTGACACACCAAGTGTTGGTCAGAATGCCCTAAAACTCACCCCTTAGTGCTCCCGTTCGGAGAACATTCTACCCGGAAAGAGAGATTCCTTTGCAGGTGAGATTTGCAGTGACGCCCCGGCTTCGTGATGATGTGTATGACGGGAACTAACTACCCGACTGTGTCCCAGTGAAAAGGAGGAGGAACATGCACTTGGGCCCCGAAGAGAAAAATCACTCCTTCCATTTGCCGCCCAGGAAACTGGGGGGAGATGGTGACCGATCCGCTTTGCATAGGGATTTTTGTGTCTTTACTGGGCAAGTTTAATTCATGGCCAGCTCAGAAAAATGGGGGAGGTGAGTAGTTTAGGCCGCAAGAAGCTTGTTAAACGATATTTGTGGACACAGCAAAATTAAAGAACCCCAAAACTCTGATGCTTCCCATCACTGGATGGAGGCTGTCATTGTCAAGTTCTGAGCCTGCCCGCCAGAGGTGGGAGGAGATGGTCCTGGGACGCTGATATCCAAAAAGGCTCTGAGCCGCTTCATCTGCATCAGCCTGTGTCTTCACCCTGCGGAAGAGACCGATGCCACAAAATCGATGTCCTGGGGGGGTTTATGTAACGAATGTGTGTGTTTTCTGTGAGTTGCGGGCAGTCCTGCATCTAAGTTCTCCCAGTTCTTTTCCGTTTCGGTGGGGTTGATGGGATTGTTTTCGAGTGTTGGAAGGCCTGCTATTCTCCCCGCCCGCCCTCCCCCTTTCTGAGCTAAGGAAGCTACCATTTGGAAGAAGTGCTGTGTCAAAGATGTGTCGTGTCCCCCGTGAAAGTGAGTGGCTGTCCGTCTGCACCCCGGGTGCCGCGTGCTGGTCTGCAGAGGTGGCCGGCGGTCCCCGGGGCTGTGCCTACGGCTCCGACCTTCCCCTGACCTTCCCCTCGCTCCTGTTGCAACAGCACTCACCCCTCCGCGCTGTCCCCCGCGTCTCTGTTGTACTCACGACCCGGTGAATAAAGTGCGTGCTTTATTTGTAGACGCCTCCACGCGTGTGTGCCTTCCTGTCCCCCTGCTCCCAGCAATCGGTCCCATCCGTAAAAGCACCAGCCCGGCTTCCAATAACCAAAATGAAGTCAGAATCCAGCCCAGGCCTTGGGCATGCATTTCTATTGCGTAGGAAGGCGGGTTGGAGTGGGAAGGGCAACAAAATAGTCCTGGAAGCCTGGCCAGTGTTGCTCCATGGTTAGAGCGTCAGCCCGTGCAAGGAGGGGTGATGGGTTCGATTCCATGGGATAGCCCAGGGCTGTCTGTCCAGTTATCCCGACCATCGTGACAAAGTCGACTAGAGGAAAACAAGTTTTCATCTACCGGGTGACCTGCCTGGTGTTTGCCTTTGTGACAATCTCGTCTTTTGGACAAGGCTGGGGGTTGGGGAGGTTTGGGGACAGGAGTTTCTGGGCTGCCCTGAGTGCGGGCCATTTTACTAAGAAACCAGCAGGCAGTGGGAGGAAAAGGTCCTTCAGATCTGGACCTCCCCTGCATGATCAAATTTGAGGTGAAGGAAACCTACAGTTTGATGTATTTGCTCTGCACCGCCAAGACTCGGGGCTGGCCAGAAAGTACAAGGGCCTGTGCAGACTGGCCATGGCTCTGCTCATAGCTGTTCTGCCGCGTCTGTCAAGCCTGCTGTCTTGGTCCCTTTGGGCTGCTGGAGCGGAAGCCCATGGGCGGTGGCTTGAACAGCACACCTGTGTTCCTTACAGTTCCGAGGCTGGGAAGTCCACAGCCAAGGTGTGGCAGGCCAGGTGCCTGGGGAGGGCCTGCTGGTTGTAGATGCTGCCTTATCTGTCCTCACAAGGGCAGCCACGAGGAAGTAAGCTCTCCCATGTCTCCTCCTATAATGCGGGGGCTTGGGGTCCTTTTTTCTGCCCAGGGCCACTTAGATATCTATAACATCATTCGCAGGCCGCACAAAATTATCAACTTAAGTCTTAGCCTGCTATATTTGGTCAAACTTTTCTTTTTTAATATTTTTATTGATTTCAGAGAGGGAGAGATAGAAATATCAATGATGAGAGAATTATTGATAGGTTGCTTCCTGCACACCCCACACTGGGGATGGAGCCCGTAACCCAGGCACGTGCCCTGACCGGGAATCAAACCGTGACCTCCTGGTTCATAGGTCGATCGATGCTCAACCGTTGAGCCTCACCGACTGGGCTTTAGTCAAACATTTAACTCCCCCCTAATGCCTTGGCAGAGCCAGATCAAATGATTTCGCAGACCTCATACAGCCTGGACATTCCCCACCCCTGCTAAGGGTACCAATTCCATCCTCCGGGCTCTATCTCTCATGATCTAACTGCCTTCCAAAGGCCCTACCTCCCAATACCTTCCTGTTGGGGGTTCGAGATTTAACATGAATGGGGGGCACACAAACACGAAATCCCTAACCCCCGTCCAGGGGCCAGTTGCACTAGCATTCGGTAGACCCTCACCCACAGCTGGAAGCAGGTTCTTATCAAGACAGTTGGACAGTTAGTTCACTGTTGTAGAAAACAGGTCAGGAAACCCCTCCTGGAGGCCCGTGTCCCACTAACTTCCGCCTCCAGCCACACCAGCGTCACCACTTTGGTCCACAGTGACCACAGCCATGGTTTATCTTCAGTCCTTCTCTGGTGCTCTCCGTGGCCTTTGCCACGATTGGTCACCATCGCACTGAAACTCGACTCCCTGCCTCACTCGGTGGTTAGCCCTCCCACACTCTCAGCAAAGCTCACATATCTATGTTGGGAGTCCATGGCCCCTCGTGACTGACCTTTGCTCGCCCACTGCTCAGCGTCCCTCCCAGAACGCCCCACCTTCGAATCTTGCTCTCCAGCACCTCCAACCCACTGAGCGTGCCCTGAATGCACCATGCTCTCCCCCTCTGCAGCCGGGCCCATGGCATTTCTTCTGTACAGTGTCCAAGGCTTCAAGGAGGTAGAGCGCGGAGAGGATCCGGCCCCAGGGGAACAGGTAAGGGTAACATCACTGTTTGAAATCAGTGGCCCACGGCTCCTTGGTGTTCCCATGTGAATTTCCCAGGGGCTCCCTCGCCCTAAATCAAAGGCAAGCCTGAGACACACCCTCTCTATGAGCCTGTCTTGATGGGCCCAGCCCAGCCTGCCCAGTGAATTCTTTGCGTGCCTGAAGTTGAACATCACGTTAGACACTTGCAAGTGTTGCCCAGTACTGCTAGCTTTTCGTGTGTTCCTGCTCCCCGGTTGACGTGTAGTGCGATCTCAGTATTGAGTGCCCGGCTTTGTGCTAACCGTATCCCACGTGATAGGTCATGGTAGCTCCACTATACAGGGGAGGAGACCAAAGCTCAGGGCTAGAAAAACATGCCTGATCGCTCAGCCAGTGAGCCCCAGAGCTGGGATCGCCCAGGTCGATCCCACTTCCAACCCCACGCCCTTTTTCTCTGTATCCCATCGCCTGTGGCCTTCCAAAGGCAAGGGCTGTCTGTGTCCCCCACATTCTAACCCTCCCACGTGCACTGCACAACGTAGGTTCCCTGGGGAGACTGGCTGGTTCCCTTCAGTCTGGCTCTGAGCCCCATCAAGACCACCCTTGCGTGGCGATGAACAACAGCGGGGGGTACTCCCTAGCTGTGTGTCTTAAGGCCCGTTATTTAGCCTCTCTAGGCCTCAGTTTGTTCAACTGCAAAATGGACAAAATAATAATGTCCACCAGAACATTGTTGCCTAATTACTATAGCACGAATAGTGCAGTACCCAGCACAAAGCAATCGCTCAACTTTAGTGATTTTTATTCAGAGTAAGTAACCATTTAGACTTGAAGAACCCCACCAGCTCTGGGAGCCTCAGTTTTCTCATCGGCAAGCTAGGAGGGGATGCCTACTCTGACCATCTCATTGGGTGGTACGGCCACATGAAGTCAGGTAGAGCGCTCAGACACAGGTGAGTGTGACATTAACAGATGGTGTTGGGTCAAGAGGCTTTCTTGGTATTATTTTTAGAAGTTTAATCATTTGTTAACTTTAATTTTTGTGCTGGGCTTTCCCCCCAACCCCCTAGTCTTTATAAGAACACTCCAACACAAAACAAGCTCACAACCTCTTTTATACGCTTCAAGAATAGCCCTCTCTTTGTCCAATAATAGTTTGAGATTAAGATCCCCTTGACAATATGCTAATAGGTAGTAATAGTAACAGAAATCACGTGGCTGTTGAGTGCAGGCTATAGCATCAGACTGCCCGGGTTTGAGTCCAGCCCCACCAGTAAGTAGCTGGGGAACGAGTGACAATTTACTCAACTTCTCGAAGTCTGAATTTCCACTCCTGTAAAATAAGAACACCTACCTCAGAGGGCTCCTGTGAGACTCCGGTAGGACAGGACCCAGCACGATACAAAATAAGCCCTCAAACATCACTTTTATATAAAAAGTTGCTACCATTTAATAAGGATCTACTATCTGTCCAGTCCTGAGCTCGGTATAGCACATGGTTGATGTCACACAGCTCCTTACCACCCCTACCTCCGCCTCCCACCCTCATCTCCCCAGTTCCAGGCCCAGCACGTGGGCAGGTGGCATGAGGCGCCGTGGCCAGCCAGGCGGCAGGCTGCTCTAATGGGGAACCTCAAGGTGAGTGCCTGGGGCTCGGCCCTTCTGGGGGTTTCAGAGCTGTTGGGCCGGTGTTTCCTGGGTGGAGGGATTGCCCTCGCCTGCACAGGGATGCTTAGGAACACCAGCTAAAGAAGAGCTGAGGCTCACGCCCATGGAAGTTGTCTCTGCTTCCAGAAAGATCTTCACAGTTGTCTGACTCAAAGCCAGCCGAGGCAGCAGAGCTGAGCTGCCAGTCCCTATAGTATTGGGGGACATGCTGTAGGCTCCTCAAAGCCACCAGTCCTGCCGAAACCGGTTTGGCTCAGTGGATAGAGCGTCGGCCTGCGGACTGGAGGGTCCCAGGTTCGATTCCGGTCAGGGGCATGTACCTTGGTTGCGGGCACATCCACAGTAGGAGATGTGCAGGAGGCAGCTGGTCGATGTTTCTCTCTCATCGATGTTTCTAACTCTCTATCTCTCTCCCTTCCTCTCTGTAAAAAGTC